GTGGCACCGACAGCTATAGCAAACATTAAACACAGCCTAATTCCTAGACTAGTTATCATAAACTCTCCACTGAAAGTCTGTTTTCCTTAGTTCCTGCTACTCAACACAACAGGCCAAAAGCAAGAATCAGAAGAGACACATTCAGAAGCTCTGGCGCAGAAATCGTAGATAGTTGAATTACCAAGCAGCTGTTTTAAAGCAAATATGAATAGTATGTTAAAAACTTTAAGAAAAAGAGTAAGACAACATTTAAAAAGATGGGTTAAAAACAACAGACACAAGGAAACTCTATGAATCAAAAGGAGATGCTAGAAATAAAAAACACTAATAGAAATAAAGAATGCCATATGAAGTTCATGGTGGTTTTTTCCAGTTCTGTGAAGAAAGTCAATGGTAGCTTGATGGGGATAGCGTTGATTCTGTAAATTACTTTGGGGGTTTTTCACGATATTAATTCTTCCTAACCATGAACATGGAATGTTTCTCCATCTGTTTGTGTCCTCTCTGATTTCGTTGAGCAGTGGTTTGTAGTTCTCCTTGAAGAGGTCCCTTACGTTCCTTGTGAGTTGTATTCCAAGGTATTTTATTCTTTTTGTAGCAATTGCGAATGGCAGTTCGCTCTTGATTTGGCTTTCTTTAAGTCTGTTATTGGTGTAGACGAATGCTTGTGATTTTTGCACATTGATTTTATATCCTGAGACTTTGCTGAAGTTGTTTATCAGTTTCAGGAGTTTTTGGGCTGAGGCAATGGGGTCTTCTAGGTATACTATCATGTCGTCTGCAAATAGAGACAATTTGGCTTCCACCTTTCCTATTTGAATACCCTTTATTTCTTTTTCTTGCCTGATTGCTCTGGCTAGAACTTCCAGTACTATATTGAATAGGAGTGGTGAGAGAGGGCATCCTTGTCTAGTGCCAGATTTCAAAGGGAATGCTTCCAGTTTTTGCCCATTCAGTATGATATTGGCTGTTGGTTTGTCATAAATAGCTTTTATTACTTTGAGATACGTTCCATCGATACCGAGTTTATTGAGGGTTTTTAGCATAAAGGGCTGTTGAATTTTGTCAAATGCCTTCGCTAGGCAAAACTATCCAGGACATAGGAGTAGGCAGGGACTTCATGAACAAAACACCAAAAGCATTGGCAACAAAAGCCAAAATAGACAAATGGGACCTAATCAAACTCCACAGCTTCTGCACGGCAAAAGAAACAGTCACTAGAGTGGATCGGCAACCAACAGAATGGGAAAAAATTTTCGCAGTCTACCCATCTGACAAAGGGCTGATATCCAGAATTTACAAAGAACTCAAGCAGATTTACAGAAAAAAACAAACAAGCCCATTCAAAAGTGGGCAAAGGATATGAACAGATACTTTACGAAAGAAGACATATATGAGGCCAACAATCATATGAAAAAATGCTCATCGTCACTGGTCATCAGAGAGATGCAAATCAAAACCACATTGAGATACCATCTCACGCCAGTTAGAATGGCGATCATTAAAAAATCTGGAGACAACAGATGCTGGAGAGGATGTGGAGAAAAAGGAACACTTTTACACTGTTGGTGGGAGTGTAAATTAGTTCAACCATTGTGGAAGACAGTGTGGCGATTCCTCAAGGCCTTAGAAATAGAAATTCCATTTGACCCAGCAATCCCATTACTGGGTATATATCCAAAAGACTATAAATCGTTCTACTATAAGGACACATGTACACGAATGTTCATTGCAGCACTGTTTACAATAGCAAAGACCTGGAATCAACCCAAATGCCCATTGATGATAGACTGGATTGGAAAAATGTGGCACAGATACACCATGGAATATTATGCAGCAATCAGAAATGATGAGTTCGTGTCGTTTGTAGGGACATGGATGAATCTGGAGAACATCATCCTCAGCAAACTGACACAAGAACAGAAAATGAAACACCGCATATTCTCACTCATAGGTGGGTGATGAAAAATGAGAACACATGGACACAGAAAGGGGAGTACTAAACACTGGGGTCTATTGGGGGGAAAAGGGGAGGGCCAGTGGGAGGGGGAGGTGGGGAGGGATAGCCTGGGGAGAAAAGCCAAATGTGGGTGAAGGGGAGAAGAAAAGCAAAGCACACTGCCATGTGTGTACCTACGCAACTGTCTTGCATGCTCTGCTCATGTACCCCAAAACTTATAATCCAATAAAAAATTAAAAAAAAAAAAAAAGAAAGAAAGAATGCCTTTGATGACCTAATTATGAGACTGGACAATACTGAGAAAAGAAGCCATTTGTTGAAGATATGTGAAAAGAAAATTCCCAAAATGAAATGTGAATGCAACCAAAAATATTTCACATTAAAAATACCCTTCTTTGTCTTATTTTAGGGTGCCTATTCAGAGGGGCTGCAAACACAAAAATAGCTGAAAATCTGTATTTTGTGAAAGAGATTCCCAGTTGTAGAGAACACTGACATAATTGAAATAAACAGGCTTTCTCTGTATCTCCTTTTTATTTGTATCTAGGAAAAGTTAACTCTCAGGAAAGGGAGACTAAAGTCTGATTCCCTAAGGCGCTTACAGAGAACCAGTCTCCACAGGCTGCCATCTATTTTTCCTGGAAGCTGCTGTCCGTGAGGTTCATGCACATCACAAGACTGACTCTCCTTGGCAAGCTGTCTTCTCCTCCCTCTCCCATAACCTGTGTAGCCACCTCCCTCAGAGCTCAGAGAAACTTTGTCCGAGGCTGTTGTTCTTTAGATGCACTCGTATTCCCTGAAAATCATTTACTCCTAGCCCCTCACCAAAATTTTCCTGATAAAGAAAGTATTTAAACATAAACCATTTGGTCTTCCATTATTTTTTTTTTCTATATTATATGATTCCTGTGAGCACATATCACTTTGTCTTCCCTTTTTTTTGGCCCATTAATTGATTGTCAGTTTCTTTTACAGTTTCAAATTATTGAACAATCAGGAATTGGGAAAAGAAGAAAGAAAATTATCTTTGCCCCTTTAAATGAAAACAGAGAAACATAAAAATGAAAACAGAACCTCTGAAATTAGGAGCAATGTTATAATCATAATGGAATGGCAAAAAAGATAAAGGAAAGAAAATAAACAAAATAAATTATTAAGGTAATCATGAAAGATAAATTTTCAAATTAATGACATTCACAAAACCACAGATGTAGGAATGTCAGCAAATACCAAGCGTGGAAATAACAACAACAAATGTTGACCTGGGTAAATCGTATTTAAAGTGTGTAAAACCATGGAAGAAAACCATTTTGAAAAAAGAAAAGGGAACAAAACCACATTACCTATTGGAAACGAAGAGAATTACAGAAGGCTTATAGTAAGACACTAAGAAGGCAAGAAGGCATAGAAGTTAAAAGAAAGCCCTATTATTTTATATCAAACCAAACAATCACTCAAATATGAAAGAGAAATAAAAGACAAGCAGACAAATTGGAAAACCTAAAGAGATTGACAGCAAACTCTGTAAAAATGTTAAAAAATGTCAATAATATTGTATATAAGGATTTCAATGAAACCCACAGCATTAAGATTGTAGCAATCCCCTGTAAAGAGGCAAATCAAGCTTTTAAAAGGAGAAGCAGTGAGAGAAACTACTTTTTTGTTTCTAAATAAGTGTATGTGGTGTATTTTAATTTTTAAAGCTCCTGTTTTAATTTACATTAGACCATATCAAGTCTGTTAATGGAGGAAAGGCCCATGGGGTATAATTTTATTTAGAAAATTTAAAATCCACAAAATTTGAACTTGAAAAAGTGAAAAATTGTGAACTTGAATACAAAGATAAAAATTATGGAATCTAAAAGATGGAGATTAAAATACAGACAGTAAAATGCACAGAACATCAAAAGTGAGACCTGATTAAGCACATCAACAAAACAACATACATTCAATAGGTGTGTCAGAGAAGTAGAAGAGACAAAGGAAGAGAAAACAAATTCTAGGGAAAAAAACCTGAAAACATCACAAATTTAAATAAAAACACGCATATTCTAGAACCTTGGAGAACTTCAAGTAGAAAAGAGAAACAGATCCACAAACAGAAGCTTCATTAAAAAAATAATAAAAGCCAAAGACAAGGGGGAGCTTCTTGAAAGAAATCAGAAAATTGTCACTTTGAAGGAAACCTTAGTAAGATTGACAGCTGACTGCTTATCACAATTCATGGAGAGAAAAGATAATGGGATAATATATACAAAGTGCTCGAAGGAAAAAAAATCCTGGAACCAAGAATCTTGTATTAGTCTCCAGGGCTGCCATAAGAAAATACTGCAGACTTGGTGGCTTTAAAAAATGGAATTTCTCACAATTCTGGAGACTAGAAGTCCAAGATCAAGGTTCTAGCTGATTTGGTTCCTGGTAAGAGATCACTTCCTGGCTTTCAGAAGGCTGGCTTTCTGGCTATATCCTCACATGGCCTTTTCTCATTGCATACACACACACACATAAATATTTCTCTTTTTATAAGGCTCCTAGTTCTATCAGATTAGGGCTCCACATTTATGACCTCCTTGAACTTTGATTCTCTTCTAAGGACCCTCTCTCCAAATACAAACACACTGGGGGTATGATTTTTAAATATAAATTTTGGAGAGGTGGGAGGCACAGTTCAGTCCAAAGCAAATCCTATTTCCTGCAAAGTTATTTATTTTTTAAAGTGAAATAAAAACATTCACAGATATTTTAAAAGAATCCATTACTAACAGAGTCAGCTTACCATAAATACTAAAATGACTTGTCAGAATAAGCAAGTAAATAAAGTAACTTGCTTAACATAAACATAAAAGTTTACTTGAGATAAACTTATAAATGTTAGCAATAATAACAATGTAGTATTGGGTTGGTAACATATGTATTTTCAAGAGAGGGAAAGGGAAATTGAGCAATATAGGAATAACACACCTGAATATCATTGAACATAACTTCATATAAATATGAATTTTGATATTCATATTTGATAAGTTAAAGTGTACACAAGCCTTAGAACAACACTAAGAATAAAAGCGCATTATAAGGAAATTAGATATCAAGCCACAAAAAGACATGGATGAATTGTAAATATTTATTGCTCAGTGTATGGGGCTCATGAGATTTTTGATCGAGGAAAAATACAAAATTCTAACAGGCAGTGGCACACAATAAACTTTATCAGGTGGTGGTGGTACTTCATGAGAGATGAAATCGCTCATACTATGATACTTTCCAGAAACTCATGGTGAAGGGGCCAGTCTTCACAGAGGCAGAGGAGCAAAGAAAATCCCAGGGAAGAGGGGGGCCAGAGAGGGCCTAATGTGTCCAAGTGAGGTCACACCACAGTATGGCTGAGAATTTCCAAAGAACACCAGCAGGTTGGGGCTTTATGACTACAAGTATTATGTTATTGATAGGTAACAGATGTTGGGTGAGATTTCATGGGGTATAAAATGCAGGCAGGCTGTATAAAGCTAAAAATCTGCTTAGATACGTTCTTTTAAAAACACTGAATGTGTCAAAGTTTGAGTTTGGTAGCCATGGGTTTTGAAAAGGATCTCACCGAGCAGTGAATAACCTAGGAGCCAATTCACAGAGGTCCTCTTTGGCTCATTTATTAGCACTAAATTAAAGAAGCCAGTCTAAAGAGGCTGCATACTGTGTGATGTAATACTGCATACTTGTGTAGCGGTAAAATGATAGAGACTGTAAATGCTTACTGGTTGCCACAGGTATGAGGAGAAAGAAGGTCGAAGAGGGAAAACACTAGGAATTTTTAAGGCAGAGAAACTACAGTGCGTGGTTTGTTAATGGTGGGTACATGCTAAGTATTTATCGAGATCCATACACTTTACACCATAAAGAGTGGATCTTAATGTATGAAAATGAAGAAAAACCATCCAGGGAATCAGTCAGTGGAGGGAATACATAATGTGACAAAAAAAAATCTATATTGTAAAAGAGAAAAAGTTAGTGAGCTAAGTAACTTTGAAAATGAGTGAAATGAAAATAGAAGAGAAAGACATAAGAAATTGCGCAACTCTAATGGATCAAGTTGTTCTCTAAAAGAATACAGATTAACAATACAATATATACATGTACTATACATGATGCTGAAATTTGAACTATGTAGATAGTGGATTTTGTCAGGATGGGAGATTATGAATAAGAAAAACGAAGAAGCTAGAAGGACTTATGCCCAGCTGATCCTTCTCATTTCTTAAGTGTTGGCTGCACATAGTGATTTCCTTCCAAGTAGCACAGTATAAAAAAGGATTACAAGTAGCAATTGTACAATGAAGAAACATAAACACTTCAGGTAGGTGATTCCGGCCCACATCAGCAGTGACAGTTCATGTTCGTAGTATGGACTCTTGATGAGATAACAGGGCACTTGACTTCTGGGATTTCTTTCCAGAATACAGAACTCTACTGTACTGAATCCTGTGAAAAGCACAAGGCAGATCTCAATTACGTGACATAATAGAGGCTGAATCCTGTGAAAAGCACGAGGCAGATCTCAATTACGTGACATAATAGAGGCTGAATCCTGTGAAAAGCATGAGGCAGGTCTCAATTACGTGACATAATAGAGGCTGAATCCTGTGAAAAGCATGAGGCAGGTCTCAATTATGTGACATAATAGAGGTAAAACAAGTGTGCAAAATGCACAAAAGTGAGTAGCTAATAAAAATATGTACATTTTTGAGGAAATGAATTTTACACACATACTAGATTACAGGAAAGCTGACATTATAATGGCCAATAGCCATCCAAAGTTAAAAGCGTGTTATTTTAGTGGAGTTTCAATTTGAGTCATTGACTGGTTTCAAAAAAAGGTACTCTGAAAATCCACTCTAACATAATATCCACTCTACTCAATAATGATGCATTTTCTTGAAAAAGTAACATTTTTAGGGTCATGAAACCTTTTTAGGGTCAAGATTGCTCTGACTATTACTTGCAGCAGGGAAGAGTGATGGCTGTGTGAATGGGGCCCACTATAGACGAGCAGAACCGACCTCAAATATCAGCACAAGAGGGGCCTCAGTAGAGGAAACTGGAGCATTGTTAAAAATGGAGTATCCTCTTTTCATTTAAACTATTCTAAAACAGCACATAAGATAATAGGTAGCGGGGTGTGAATTGCAGGATGTATTTTAACATATTAACCTGCCAGCAGTGAGCTGGGACTTCCTGAATAGTGGAATACGGAGTCTGATATACCTTGCAGCAAAATGACTATTTAACTTGTGAAAATTATAGAAAATAACTATTTAAAGCCTGGAAAGTATCCTAAGGGTATACAGCAAATAAATAATCAAGATAAACTATTAAATATACAAAAGAGATGGTATCATTTAGTATTTGAGCTACCCCTGTACTTTAATCTCACCCCACAGTTTCATTGCAGAAACTCTACTGTGGTCTCTTTATTCAGAATCTATGGTCAGAACTTCCAGGTCTCCTTCACCTTTCAGTTCCCAACTCCAAAATGGGATACTGGGGGCTGGCGTTTCTCCCTCTCCTCACCCCCTCTATTGCATCTCTGTTCTTACTGGTGCAATCCGAAGGCCTGAGGTTCCATTCCCATCCAGGATCTCCTTAGGGGATGACAGCTCTCCCCAGGTACAGCCTACGTGACTAAGCTCCAGCCCAGAGTCCTCAGTCTCCCTCACCCCAGCTCACTTTTAGAGAGTGGATTCAACGCTGAGGAGGGCAAGCTAAGATGTTAGGAAATGCCACATACCCAGTACACAGTCACATGGCAGAGATGTCACTCTAGGACATGTTGGCCAGTATCGTACCCTCTGCTGCTGAGTGGTGGTGCAGACATCAGATCCAGATGAAGAGGTATACTCGGAGGAGGCAGAAATCCACAGCTGTCTGCAGGAACTGAAGTTAAGTTCATCCTGATGAACAATGTACAAAACAGTGGAGGTCTTAGGGGCAGTCAACTAAAAACCTACTTGAAGTTCCTTGATTCTGGTAACTACGTGTGAAATGGAGAAACAGCTGGAATTTTCTCAGAGACCATCAGGGAAAGAGACACCTAAGAAGAACGAGGTTGCTATCAAAGTCACCCTTGAAGATTGGGAAGGCCGTGTGTGTGTGTGTGTGCGTGTGTGTGTGTGTGCGTGTGTGCGTGCGTGTGCGTGCGTGTGTGTGCATGTGCGTGTGTGCGTGCGCGTGTGTGCTCGTGTGTGTGTGCGTGCGTGTGCATGCGTGTGTGTGCGTGCGTGTGTGCGTGTGTGTGTGCGCGTGTGTGTGTGGTGTGTACGCGCACTAGGGTGAGTGCACTCGGCAGCAAACAGAGCAGGCTGTGTGCAGGGCCGCAAGCATTGCACAAGCTGCACACAAGTTTTCTGATACGGAGCAAAGGCATTTTTAACACAGTGGGCTTAGATACAACCTCTAACCACACGCTGACTGAATAAGCTATTCAGACTAAATAATTAAGTTTCTATGTATGTACCAAAACAGATCGCTGGTTGCCTAGGACTGGGACTTTGGGAGGCAAGGAGTTAATTTGTAAACTGATTAATTTTTTTGAGCTAGAAAAAATAATTTTTTAACTAAAAAAATTAACATTTTGTTTCTTTCTGTTCCCAAGGCTGGAGTGCAGTGGCGCAATTTCGCTCACTGCAACCTTCACCTCCCAGGTTCAAGCCATTCTCCTGCCTCTACCTCCCAAGTAGCTTGTTCTACAGGCTTATGCCACCATGCCTGGGTAATTTTTTGTATTTGCAGTAGAGACAGGGTTTCACCGTGTTAGCCAGAATGGTCTTAATCTCCTGACTTGGTGATCCACCCACCTCAGCTTCCCAAAGTGCAGGGTTTACAGGTGTGAGCTACCATGCCCAGCCTAATTACCTGTTTTTTAAAGATACAAAAATGACTGTATAAGAAGCAGAGGTTTCATTTCTCATAGTCTCATTTTCTCTTCTCTTTAGTTTTTATTTTTCATTAATAAAAGCTAAAAACTGGGTTTTAGGTTTTATCTGTATAATCTCTAAGTCCCCATGCAATATCATGCTTTTCCAGTGTAATGCAGACTCTGAAATAAGCTCTTCTTTCAAGGTGTTTATTTAACTCCAGTTACAGAAAACTTCAATAGATGCTCAATTTTTTCATTCAATTAATATGGTGTTGTATTAAATGTAACTAACTGGACTAAATAAATGGCAGGACCCAGAAATCTTATTAGAGATTTTCATTCTAATCTTTAAAACAATAATATTTACTCACTCTCTTAGCTTGTTAAAGTTCATCTCACTTCCACAAATCCAGGCATCCAAACCTTCTAGATATGCGAATGATTCACATTCCACACAAAATTATTCTCCTTCTGCCAACCCACTCATAAATTTCCTTTTATGAGAATACTATAACCCAAGAAGATTTTGTCAAAGTTTAATTTCGTTTGTTTATATTACAAACATAATATTTTTACTGGGTTTTAAAATGTAAAATATCATAATGTTGAATACACTTCCTGCAAACAACAATAGTCTCTTAAAAACATTATCCAATTTACCTGTGCAACAATTTTCATTGTTGACATTTGCACATAGTTACACACACACACACACACATCTTATTTTCAACAAGAATATTTTAAATCCCACTCTGGACTGTAGTAAGGTTTTCTGTTTTGTTGTTGTTGTTGTTTTGTTTTTTAACTAAATATATTTTAAAAGTTAACTGCAGCATTTTACTCACTTTTTTTAACATTTCCATTTTGTGGATTTATCACACATTACAGAACTAGCCACTTATATTAATTCCATTATTTTCCTATTCCAAACAACATTGTAAAAATATTGGGGTCATATATTTTTAAATACAATCCCTGTGATTGCTTTCAGGAAAAAAAAAAAAAAAAGAAAAAGAAAAAAACTACAACCAGAATAGGCCAGGTAAAGACACACACCTATAACCCCAGAACTTTGGGTGGTTGTGGCAAGCAGATCTCTTGAGCCCAGGAGTTCCAGACCAGGCTGGGCAACATGGAGAAACCCCATCTCTAACTAAAACACAAAAATTAGCCAGGGCGGTGGCAGGTGCCTGTAGTCCCAGATACTCGGGAGGCAGAGGTGGGAGGATCGCCTGAGCCCAGGAGGTCAAGACTGCAGTGAGCCAAGAACAAACCACTGCATGCAAGCCAGGGCGACAGAGAAACACCCTGTCTCAATAACAACACACACAAACCAAAACAGAATTAACGAAATGAAGTACCTGGGGAAAAGACTTTTTGAACTGGTTGAGCTCATCTCTGGTGAAACAAAGACAGTCTTGCAAGTGAGTCTTCCAGGGAACCACCTGACAGGTAAAGGGAGGACAGTTATCTGAGGGGGAGGCTTGGAAGATGCCCCAGCCACGTCCTCCTCCTGCTGGTGACTGCTAGACCCGTGGTGCTGACCTTGATTACAGGGCTTTCCGTTTTTCAAAGCTAGAGATGGTGATTGGCCAACTCAAAAAGCCATGTACCTTCTGTTCTCACCAAGAATTAGCTGCTTTTTGTGAATAAACAGTCTGGGTTTAATTTCCAGAGCCTGAAAATGTTGATTCTGCCAGTTGTTGGTGCTTTTTGTGTTGTTTTTTTTCTTGAGGAGAATAGGATTTTTCAAGTCCCTGACCTGTGATTTTTAGACATCTGAAAACAAATTGATTTTTATATTGACTCCTGTCCTGTGGTCTCACTTATATTCATTGTTACTTTTCATAGATATTTTGTAGTTTTCCTAGAATTATCTACATTGATGATTCTTTCCCCTATAAACAATAACACTTTGAGCTTTTGTTCTAAATTGTATCCTTGATTTTTTCTCTTTTCTTTTTTTGTGTTGTTACATTGCCTGAGACCTCCAGAACAGTGTTGAATAAAAGTGGTAAAAGAAAATAACGTTGGCTTTTCTCCAATTCAGGAAGAAAGCACTTTTCCTATTAAATATGTTGCCAGCTACAATTTTTTGTCAATGCTAATTATCAGGTTGGTAAAAGTTTCTTTTTATGCCCAGTGTGCTGAGTTTTTACTGTATTAAGAATAACAATTAAATTTTTTCAAAACCTTTTATTTACATTTCTTTATATCCAGAGTCAGCAAACTTCTTCTGTAAAGGTCCAGAGAGAAATGTGCCTGATATTTCCAGGTAATACAATCATTGTCATGACAACTCAACACTGTTGTTGTAAAACAAAAGCAGCAAAGACCACGGAAAATCAATGTGTGTGGCTGTTTACTACACAAGTGGTAGGCTACATTTGGTCCACATTTTGGTTGGCCAACCTAAGATGACGATAATCCTGTGATTTTCTTTTTAATCTGTTCTGTTAACAGGTGAATTTCCCTGAATTATTTTCAAGTGTTAAACCAATCTTCTATTCTTAGGCTAGATCCCACCTGGTCATGATGTGTAATTATTATCTGACATTTTACTTAACTTTAAGTATTTAATGTAAATCCCTACCATGGATTTCTTGCCTTTTCACATTTGTATTTTTATCTTCAAAGTAACAGCCCTACTCCCCAAAATACTGGCATTTTCTAGCTGTCTCAAACCTAAAATATACACTAGTTTTGAATTGCTCTTCCTATTCAATTACCAGAAATATACCTTAGAATTAATAATTTAAAAATCACCAAATAATTTGGTATATGTCGTAGATTATGCCAAATGATGTAAAAATTTTTATTCCCATCTGAGAAATAATCACCAAATTTTATTTTACCTTGATAAGTGTTGAAGTGGTGACAAAAGAGCATATCCCATTTTGACAGATTTATACACAATGTGTCTTTATTTCTACTGAAGTACTAGAGAATAAAGCCGGAAACAGCTTAACAGGAATGATACTTTCCCGTTTATACATATGAACATGCATTTTTGTGTCCTTAGATGAAAAATGTTTTCAATGCTCTCTGAAAAAAGAAAGTACCCATGTGCATTTACGTACATGTGCATTTACATACATGTGCATTTACATACATGTGCATTTACATACATGAGAAACAAAACACTGGAACTCTTCTGTAACCTACTTTCCGATTAATGAATACTGCCAAATATATCTACCTCTTTGCCCTACTCAAGTTGCTATTAAAATATAATCATTTTGAACATATTGCTAAGCCAAACTTTATCCTAATTGTTATAAATGTCTAATATTTAAGAAATAATATATAACTACTCTCATTAGCAGTTTGCGTAGTTTTCTTGAAGTTGATTTATAATCTTAATGAAGAAAGTTAATCTCACCACTGAGTTTACTGTCTCAAAAAATCATGTGAGCAGGTATTTATCACAGGTCTACGGAATATTATATATCTATCAGCTTTGCTTTAGTTAGGGAGCCAAGCTTGACATTTAAATGTATTGAGAACAAAATAATCATATAGTTATGTTAACTCTTATTAACAAAGGTTAATTTTTTTAACTCTTTGAAAAGTGATCCATTATTCTTCACAAATCCTTAATGATTACAGTGGTCTAAATGTGTCCTCCAAAATTCATATGTTAAAATTTAATCACCAATCTGATAGTAATAAGTGCGGCCTTTAGGCAGTGATTAAGTCATGTGGGTGGAGCGCCTGTAGATGGGATAGCACCTTAGAAAAGGGCTTGCCGAGGTGACTCCCTTCCTTCTGTCTCATCATCCAGCTGCAGCTACAGCGGACACAGCAGCAAGGCGCCATCCCGAAAGCAGAGGACAGTCTTCAACAGAAAATAGACCCGCCAGCACCCAGCCTCCAGATCTATGAGAAACAGATTTCTATTGTTTATAAATTACCTAGTCTGTGCCATTTTGTTATAGCAGAACAAAAGAACTAAGACAATGACCTTTTTTAAAAAAAAATTCTCTGTGAGTCTAATTCTCATTTTTTCTCAGTGCAAAAAACAACAGCACAGTATTTTCACATTCGGTACATAAATATGGTAAGCACATGAGTTCTGTTATTAGAGTTGTTTTTTTTTTCAGTGATATTATCCTACTTCCATTAATTGTCTAATGAATATTTTAGGTTTAGTAGAACAAATCTGAGTCACAAACCCCTGCCCACAGTTCCAAAATTATACTAAAGACTCCTAATTTTAAAATCCTAAATTGGGCAGAGAGCACTGGCTCACACCAGTAATCCCAGCACTTTGAGAGCCCAAAGTGGGCCAATCATTTGAGGTCAGGAGTTTGAGACCAGCCTAACCAGCTTGGTGAAATCTCATCTCTGCTAAATACAAAACTTAGCCAGGTGTGGTGGAGAGTGCCTGTAATCTCAACTACTTGGGAGGCTGAGGCAGGAGAATCACTTGAACCCAAGAGGTGGAAGTAGCAATGAGCCAAGATCCATTGCACCACTGTACTTCCAGCCTGGGCAAGAGAGTAAGATTCCCTCTCAAACAAACAAACAAACAAAATCCTAAGTTGTACTGTCATAAAAACCATCATGATTTTTTCACATATAGTCACATTACATTCACAATCTGTTTCTAAACCCAGTAGTAGTAAATCACCAGTAATTAACAATTACAAATAGATAAAAGACCACTTTACTTGGAGCAGGGAGATCCAAAATGGCCTAACAGAAACAGCTCTGGAATGCTGTTCCCAGCAAGAACAATGCAGAGCGTGAGTGATCACCACATTTGCAAACGAGTTTTTGTAGCCCACAGACCAGGAGATTCCTGGGCTGTAAAGCTCCATGAGTTTCCAGCATGGCTATTTCAGTGGGTGTTTCAGGTGTCCATACAAAAACTCACACAAATCCAGGGGGTGGTTTCAACAGGCACCTGGAATGCCTGGGATACAGAGCCATTTATTCAACTGAACAAAAGGGGGCTGAAACAGGGAGCCAGGTGATCTGGCTCAGCAGGTCCCACTGCCCACAAAGACCAGCTATCTGAAAAGCTCTGGATTGAGAGTTTCTCAGCAAGCACAGCTGGACCCAGGATGGTCCAGCTTGGTACAGGGAAGGGTGTCAGCCATTACCAAGGCAGTCTACCACTAGCAAGGGAGTCTGCCATTACCGAGGCAGTCTGCCATTACCGAGGCAGTCCGCCATTACTGAGGTAGTCTGCCATTGCCAAGGCAGTCTGCCATTACCAAGGCAATCTGCCTTTACTGAGGCAGTCTGCCATTACCAAGGTAGTCACCCATTACTGAGGCTGACTGCCATTACTGAGGCAGGTCTAACTGTATCTCTGTTAAAAGAAACCATGAGGAAATTCACATAGCAGCTGGGCAAAGCCCACAGAGCTCAGTAAAGCCTCCACTGGCTGACTGAGACTAGATTACCTCCTTGCTGGGCAGGGCATTTGTGAAAAAAGGCAGCAGCACATCAGGAACTTATAAATAAAGCCCCACCTTTCCAGAACAGAGCACCTGGGGAAAAAAGGCATTTATGAGTTCCACTGAGGCAGACTTAAATGTACCTGCCCAGAAGCTCTGAACAGAACAACGGAGCTCCCAGCTCAGCACTTGAGCTTGACATCTGGCAGGTACCTTCTGGGATAAAGATAACAGAAGAAGAAACCAGAAGCAACCCTTACTGTTCTGCAGCAGCCACAGGTGATCCCCAGGCAAGCAGGGTCTGGAGTGGACCTCAACAGTCCTACAGCAGAGGGGACTGACTATTAGAAGGACAATTAAGAAAACAGAAATAACTTCAACATCAACAAAAAGGACGTACACTCAGAGACTCCATCTGAAAGTCACCAAGTAGATAAATCCACAAAGAGGAGAAGAAACCAGTGTAAAAAGGATGAAAACACCAAAAACCAGAATGCTTCTCCTTCTACAAGGGATCGCAACTCCTCACAAGCAAAAGAACAAAGCTAGATGGAGAAGGAGTGTGATGAATTGGTACAAACAGGCTTCAGAAAGTGGGTAATAATAAATTTCTCTGAGCTAAAAGCACGTGTTCTATCCCAATGCAAAGAAACTAAGAACCTTGAAAACAGACAAAATGCTAACGAAACTAAACAGCTTAGAGAAGAATATAAATGAATTAATGGAGCTGAAAAACACAAAACGAGAACTTTGCAAAGCATACACAAGTTTCAACAGCCAAATCAACAAAGCAGAAGAAATGATATCAGAGATTGAAGATCAACTCAATGAAATAAAATGAGAAGGCAAGACTAAAGAAAGAAGAGTGAAAAAAATGAACAAAGCCTCCAAGAAACATGGGATTGTGTGAAAAGACCTAATCTACATTTGATAGGTGTACCTAAATGTGATGAAGAGAATGAATCCAAGCTGGAAAACACTCTTCAGGATATTATCCTAGCAAGTTAGGCCAACATTCAAGTCCAGGAAACACAGAGAACACCACAAAGATATTCCTCAAGAAGAGCAACCCCAAGGCACATAATCATCAGATTCACCAGGGTTGAAATGAAGGAAAAAATATTAACGGCAGCCAGAGAGAAAGGGTTACTCAGAAAGGGAAGCTCATCAGACTCACAGTGGATCTCTCAGCAGAAACTCTACAAACCAGAATAGAGTGGGGACCAATATTCAACATCCTTAAAGAAAAGAACTTTCAGCTTAGAATTTTGTATCAGGCCAAACTAAACTTCATAAGCAAAGAAGAAATAAAATCCTTCACAAACAAGCAATTACTGAGAGATTTCATCACCACCAGGCCTGCCTTACTAGAGTTCCTGAAAGAAGCACTAAACATAGAAAGGAACAACCAGTACCAGTCACTCCAAAAACGTACTAAATGGTAAAGACCAATGACAATGAAAAAGCTGTGTCAACTAATGGGCAAAACAACCAGCTAGTATCAAAATGGAAGGATCAAACTCACACTATATTAACCTTAAATGTAAATGGGCTAAATGCCCCAAACAAAAGACACAGATTGGCAAATTGGATAAAAAATCAAGACCCATAGGTGTGCTGTATTCAGCAAATCCATCTCACATGCAAGGACACACATAGGCTCAAAATAAAGGGATGGAGAAAGATTTACCAAGCAAACAGAGAGCAAAAAAATTTTAAAAACAGGAGTTACGATCCTCATCTCTGATAAAATAGGCTTTAAACCAACAAAGACCAAAAGACACAAAGAAGGGCATTACATAATGGTAAAAAGATAAATGCATAAAGAAGAGCTAACAATCCTAAATATATACACACCCAGTACAGGAGCACCCAGATACATAGAGCAAGTCCTTAATGACCTACGAAGAGACTTAGACTCCCACAAAATAATAATGGGAGACTTTAACACTCCACTGTCAATATTAAACAGATTAATGAGACAGAAAATTAATAAGGATATCCAGGACTTGAACCTGGACCAAGCAAACCTAATAGACATCCACAGATTTGGACCAAGCAAAGATAATAAACATCTACAGAACTCTCCACCCCAAATCCACAAAATACACATTTTTCTCAGCACCACATCACATCTACTCTAAAATTGACCACATAATTGGAAGTCAATCACTCCTCAGCACATGTAAAAGAACACAAATCATAACAGTCTCTCAGACCACAGTGCTATCAAATTAGAACTCAGGATTAAGAAATTAACTCAGAACCAAAGAACTTCCTGGAAACAGAACAACTGGCTCTTGAATGTTGACTGGATAAACAATGAAATGAAGGCAGAAATAAAGATGTTCCTTGAAACCGACAAGAACAAAGACACAATGTACCAGAATCTCTGTCACATTTAAAGCAATGTCTAGAGGAAAATTTATACCAATAAATACCCACATCAGAAGCAAGGAAAGATCTAAAATCGATGCCCTATCATCAAAACTGAAAGAGCTAGAAGAACAAGATAAAAAAAAAGCTCAAAGTCTAGCAGAAGACAAGAAATAACTAAGATCAGAGCAGAACTGAAGGAGATAGAGACACAAAAAACCTTCAAAAAAAAATCAATAAATTCAAGAGCTAGTTTTTTTAAGATCAAAAATAGACTGCTAGCCAGATTAATACAAAAGAAAAAAAGAGAAGAATGAAATAGATGCAATAAAAAATGATAAAGGGGACATCACCACCAATTCCACAGACTACAAACTACCATCAGAGATTACTACAAACAACTCTATGGACATAAACCAGTAAGCCTGGAAGAAATGGATAAATTTCTGGACATTGCACCCTCCCAAAACTAAACCAGGAAGAAATCAAAACCCTGAATAGGTCAATAACAAGGGCTAAAGTTGAGGCAGCAATGAATAGCCTACCAACCAAGAAAAGTCCAGATCCAGTCAGGTTCACAGCTGAATTCTACCAGATGTATAAAGAGCAGCTGATATGACTAATTCTGAAACTATTCCAAACTATACAAAAAGAGGGAATCCTTCTCAAATCATTTCATGAGACCAACATCATCCTGATACCAAACCTGGCAAAGACTCAACAAGAAAAAAAAATATCAGGCCAATATCCACGATGAACATAGATGCAAAAATCTTCAATAAAATACTGGCAAACCAATTGCAACAGCACATCAAAAAGCTTATCCCTCACAATCAAGTAAGCTTCATCCTGGAGATGCAAGGCTGGTTCAACATACTCAAGTCTATAAATGTAATTCACCACATAAACAGAACCAAAGGCAAAAACCACGATTGTCTCAGTAGATGTAGAGACAGCCTTCAACATAATTCAACAGCTCTTTATGCTAAGAACTGTCTATAAACTAGGTATCAAGGGAAAGGATCTCAAAATAATAAATGGTATTTTATGACAAACCCACAGCCAATATCATACTGAATGAGCAAAAACTGGAAGCATTCCCTTTGAAATCTGGCACAAGACAAGAGTGCCCTCTCTCACCACTCCTATTCAATATACTATTGGAAGTCCTAGCCAGAGCAATCAGGCAAGAAAAAGAAATAAAGTGTATTTAATTAGGAAAGGATTAAATCAAACTATCTCTATTTGCAGATGACATGATTGTATATTTAGAAGACCCCATTGTCTCAGCCCAAAATCTCCTTAAACTGATAAGCAACTTAAGCAAAGTCTCAGGATACAAAATCAATATGCAGAAATCACAAACATTCCTATACACCAATAACAGACTTAAAGAGAGCCAAATCATGAACAAATTCCCATTAACAATTGCTACAAAGAGAATAAAATACCTAGGAATACAACTAACAAAGGATGTAAAGGACCTCTTCAAGGAAAACTACAAACCACTGTTTGAGGAAATAAGGGAGGACACGAACAGATGGAAAACATTCCATGTTCATGGTTAGCAAGAATCAATATTATAAAAGTGGCCACACCGCCCAAAGTAATTTACAGATTCAATACTATCCCCATCAAACTACTTATGACCCTCTTCACAGAACTGGAAAAAGCCACCTTAAACTTCATATGGAACCAAAATAGAGGCCGCATAGCCAAGACAATCCTAAGGTAAAAGAACAAAGCTAAAGCTTCATGCTACCTGACTTTAAACTATACTACATGGCTGCCATAGTCAAAACAGCATGGTAGTGGTACCAAAACAGCACTGGAAACCAATGGAATGAACGGAGGCCTCAGAGGCAATGCCACACATCTACAACCATCTGATCTTTGACAAACCTGACAAAAACAAGCAATGGGGAAAGGATTCCCTGTTTAAGAAGTGGTGTTAGGAAAACTGTAGCCACATGCAGAAAGCAGAAACTGGACCCCTTCCTGACACCTTACACTGAAATTAACTCCAGATGGATTCAAGACTTAAACATAAGGCCTAACACCATAAAAACACTAGAAGAAAACCTACGCAAAACCATTCAGGACATAGGCATAGGCATGGACTTCATAACTGAAACACCAGAAGCATTGGCAACAAAAGCCAAAATAGACAAATGGGATCTAATTAAACTCCAGAACTTCTGCACAGCAAAAGAAACAATCATTAGAGTGAACCTGCAACCAACAGAATGGGAAAAAATTTTGCAATCTACCCATCTGACAAAGGGCTAATATCCAGACTCTACAAAGAACTAAAACAGATTTACAAAAAAAAAAAAAACATTCAAAAGTGGGCGAAGGACATAAACAGACACTTTTCAAAAGAAGACGTATATGAGGCCAACAAACATATGAAAAAATGCTCATCATCACTGGTCATTAGAGAAATGTAAATCAAAAACACATTGAGATATGATCTCATGCCAGTTTGAATGGCGATCATTAAAAAATCTGAACACAACAGATGCTGGAGAGGATGTGGAAAAATAGGAACACTTTTACACTGTTGGTGGGTGTGTAAATTAGTTCAACCATTGTGGAAGACACTGTGGTGATTTCTCAAGGACCTAGAAATAGAAATTCCATTTGACCCAGCAATCCCATTACTAGGTATATACCCAAAGGATTATAAATCATTCTGTTATACAGACACATGCACCTGTACGTTCATTGTGGCACTGTTTATGATAAAAAAAAAGACCTGAACCAACCCAAATGTCCACTGATGATAGACTGGACAAGGAAAATGTGGCACATATACACCATGGAGCTATGCAGCCATAAAAATCGATGAGTTCATGTCCTTTGTAGGAACATAGATTGAATCTGGAAACCATCTCTCACAGCAAACTAACACAAGAACAAAAAATCAAACACCACATGTTCTCAGTCTTAAGTGGGTGTTGAACAATGAGAACAATGGACACAGGGATGGGGGCATCACACACTGGGATCTGTTGGGGGTGACTAGGGTAGGGACAGTGAGGGATAGAGAGGTTGGGGAGGGATAACATGGAGAAATGCCAGATACAGGTGATGGGGTACAGAGGCAGCAAACCACAGTGCCATGTATATACCTATGCAACAATTCTGCATGATCTGCACATGTACCCCAGAAACTAAAGTACAAAAAAATTTTTTTAAATAAGACCCGGTTACTCTTAAAATATATCATTTCATAAAACTCATGATTTATCTTAAGAAATAAGTTTTCAGATTTTAACATATGTGTAATAGAGTTTATCTTTCGATGTGTAGAAAACTCACAGTCAACTGAACAGCCATCAGGAGGCAGTGCTCAATGCATGCAGAAATTTAGAAACATATTCATATTGTCATTAATATGGAGATACGTGCATTTTCAGTTGTATGTGTTTTGCTTAATTGGCATTAAATGTGTTAAAATAGACTAAAATTCAACCCTAAACAAAAGGAAATCCTAAAATCATGCAGAATCTAAGCAAAGTCTATAAGCAATAAATTTGATGAATAATATTTGTCATCTAGAACAATGACCACAGTTGTATATTATCTTGTGAATTAAAAAACTAAGTGCTGTAATGAACCTAGGAAGACACTTTCAGGTACAACCATGTGTCACTTAATGATGAGGATGCGTACTGAAAATGCATTTTTAGGCAAACTCACCATATAGACATCAAAGAATATATTTACACAAACCTAGAGGGCATAGCCTACTACATACTTAGGCTAATAAGGAATAGCCTGTTGCCCCCAGGATACACACTTGTATATTATGATACTGTGTAGAATACTGGAGGCCATTGGAAGATAATGGTAAGTATTTATGTATCACAACATAGAAAACATGCAGTAAAATATGGTGTCATAATTTTATAAAACCAGCATTGTACATATAGTCCATCAGTGACTAAAATGTCATGTGGCACATGGCTGTAACTTCATTGTGTTCTAAAAGATTGCCTATGATAAGTATCTTAGACTATGAATGAAGATGAGAAAAAAATGTCAACTTCTTCATAACAGATATAAGAAATTCACAACAAAGAAAGTCTGGCGTGACAGACTCATGCATAATCTAGAACTATTTTTAAGACATCAAACACTAATGTGTTAGAAATCTCCTGTCGGCTTTGACCAAAAGCTCCTTAACTTCTAATGGGATTTAAATCTTGAGAAAAATAAAACTGCATAGAAAATACTGATTTATTCACAGTTTTTGACATGCTTTAAAATTCTAATGTCAGTGCTACAAAGATCAAGGTCATGAATGCCAATTATGAAAAGCAGCACATCATTGTGAAGCTAAAAATAACTGCTGGTCACAAAAAGTTGCTTGCCTATTTAAGTTTAACCTGTAAAACAATCCCAAAGAATGAAATTTTCTCCAACAATTTTGCTGTGCGTTCTGAAAACCTGGATAGGTGTCAGGTGACCCGACAGAAAACTGACTAAAAGTTTTATGGAATTGAGATCCTCCAGCCTTTTATTCTAAGCTGCCATGGATCTTGATTCTTGATGTAGTTCACGGCACATATCAGAAAAGGGAAAAATGATCATGGTGAAAAATATGGCTAATCGATTCTGACTCTGATGGTCTTTATGGTCAGCTACAGTCCCTCAACATGCCAGTCAATAGGCCTCTTAAAAAATCCTTTGAAGAAAGATTATAATTTCAGGATTTTTTCTGAAAACATTCCAATGATACTTGCTGGTATTATCAAGAAAGCACCAGCATCAAAACCTGCCTAATGATCATGAGTGACGTGGACTATTCGAGAGCAGAACATAAGAAAGGCTCTATAGGCCGGATGTGATGGTTCACGATTGTAATCCCAACACTTTTGGCGGCCAAGGTAGGAGGATCATGAGGTCAGGAGATTGAGACCAGCCTGGCCAACATGCTGAAACCCTGTCTCTACTAAAATAAAATAAAATAAAAAATAGCTGGGCATGGAGGCACATGCTTGTAGTACCAGCTACTCAGGAGGCTGAAGCAGGAGAATCGCTTGAACCTGGGAGGTGGAGGTGGCAGTGAGCCAAGATGGCACTACTGCCCTCACGCCGAGGCCACAGAATGAGACTCTGTCTCAAAAAGAAAAAAAGGGTCTGTCATCGCTGGGATTCCGAGAGCTGTAGTGGATCAGACTGGCAGCAGACCACCAAACACTGACCACTCCCTGTTTTTGGCAAAAGTTGGGCTTTGGGAAGTGCTTCTGAGCTTCTTCTCAGTCCAACCACTGAGCTGGTCCTTACTGGTTGTCGTGTAAAATCCAGTTTTCATCACAATCTGATGGAGAACTGATTCGTTGTTGCATACAATAAATAAGGCAACACTTCAAAAACATGGTTTTTTGGGGGGGTTAGCTCATGAGGCACCTACTTAGCGAATTTTGTCACCTTTCCAATTTTCTTCAATGGTCAAATGACAGTAGAATGGTCAGCACGGAATTATTCTGCCACTTCTTCTGTACTTGTAAGATCAGCTCTGATGATGGCTCTCCGTGGTCCTGTCGACTTCGGATGGCCGGCCACTACGCTCCTCATCTTCAAGGCTCTCGTCTCCTTTGCAAAGGTTTGGGAACCACCACTGCACTGTACATCCATCAACAGCTCCCGGGCCAAGCGCGTTGTTGATGCTGCAAGTTGTCTTCATTGCTTTACGACCCATTTTGAACTCAAATAAGAAAATAGCTCAAATTTGCTTTTTGTCTAACATCATTTCTGTAGTCTAAAACATAAAATAAACAAGTAGTAAGTCATTAGCAAAAAAAAGTGAAAATTGCCCATTAAAATGGTACATAACATAACTACATTTATTTAAGAATGTATTCCAACATCAAATGGCGAATTCCAACACCACATACACTGTGTTATGTTTGTACCAACCTAATATCTTGAGGATCAAGGAAGTGGCACTAAATATTTTTTCAATGTGTTCATGAAAATAATTCACTAGCAACAGCAGAAGAATTCAATAAAAGAATATAAAAAAATAAATAGGATGTTATCTATATGTGTATATCTACACATACATATAAATATATATGGCAATATATATCTGTCTCTCTGTGTGGATAGACACTGAGGTAAAATAAATTTGGCCAGAGACTGTGTCCTTTTCTTGAACTTCTATATAATAAACTGCAATCTGACTTAGTAGGTAAACCAACTGAAAGCCTAACTTAGCATATTTTTTGTAACAGTTGAGGCTCTGCCAACCACGGTAGGTGAACTTCAGCCAATCAGAGGCTGCCAACCAGTGCCCATGCCCGAATAAGACAAAGGCTGTACCCAGTTTTGCTGTTTCTCTACCTACCTCTCTTCCATTTGCTGCCGAGAAACACTGTCTGCCCAAGTTGCAGAGAGGAATGCTGTGAATGACTTCCGATTCTGAAAACTGCCCAATTTGCATCACAAATGTTCTTTGCTCAATTACGCTTTGTTAAATTTGTCTAAAATTTTCATTTTACGTGTGTGTGCACATGCACATGCACTCACAGGAACGTGTGTATACTTTCAGCATGCTGTCAGCTGCCCACAGGTATGATATTAACTATTTTATTAATTGTCTTTTATTGTCACTGTTTGCTTAACAAAACACAGGGAAAGGATCCCTATCATCCAGTGGTTTGCATGTCCATGGAATAGCACTGTATTTTTTTTCCATTTATGGCAGGAGTTAAAATGGATGATATGACATTTGTTCACTCTTCTCTAAAATCGATTTTCCCATTGCCTGTTCAGTTATTAACTTCCACTTTTATGATTACTTATATCAATTGTTATTGCTGAATTCGAAAGAGATAAGAGTTTCTCCCAACTTATAAGGTATCAATGAAGTTAAAATTAAACAAAGTTTTTAGCAAGAACTAGGTGCCAGTTTGCCAGACACAATGAATAACATGTGAATAAAACTCAATTCTTTCCCTGAGGATGTTTGCGTCCTAGGGCCATTACCTTTGACTAGAATTCAATGTTGTGGTGAGAAATAAATCTGATAAATTAAATGTTATCAGCTTCTGGGAAATTACTTCCTATTTGTGAATTCACTGAACATTTACAAAAGCCTACAATAAATCAGAGGCATTATTAGGTAGAGGAGACACAAAGATAAAAAAAAACGTAGTTGCTGTACCCAAGGGGATTAAAACTTTGTCCACAATATAAACACTATTAATGTATAATTATACTGCACTACATATTAAGATGCAATTAATACATATATTATGGTATACATTGACAGCATAACTAATGAAAATAATGAATGTTTATATGTGTTAGAGAAAATATGAAAAGCTTTGCATATATTAACTCTCATCATTATGATTGCCATTTTCAGGTGGAGAAGTTGAGACCTTAACAATTTCAGTACCTTAAACTACTAGTACTGTCGTTCTAGGCTTTGGACCTAGAAGTCAACTTCCAGTCAGAAGCATAAACCACGATAATTAAGCCACAGCCATCGCAGCAGCCTAAACAAATTATAAAGAAAGAACAATTCACTCTTCTTGAGGTAATTGGAAATGGCTAAATAAGGAAACCAAGATTAAACTGAATTTAAACAAATAAATCTACCTCTATTTATTTCTTGTTATGAGGCTATATACAGGTATGATAGTATAGATAGACTTTCCCCTTTTGTTATGAGAAATATGTACGCCTCTCAATAAAAGTAGCATTAATTTAAAATCCCAGCTAACTTCTCCAGGCTTTAACATTTCTCATATATTAAAAGAGAATAATAATATCATATTTGATGAAAGATCTCACTGCCAAGTATCTATTAGTGCTTATGGTTTTCAAAACGGCTGCTAGGCAATCAAGGCATATGAAACAACACCTGCTTCAGTTTCCGTGTTTCGAACATGTGTCCCAAAGCCAACATTTTATAATTATTTTAATTCTTTAATTTTATTTAAATTACACATTAATAGAAAGCATTATCAATGTTGAATTCATAATCATTGTACGTAACATCTGCGACTGCACAATATCAGATGACCTGGCTTTCAATCTAAACTAAATACTAAAACATGCGAACTTTCTCTTTTCTTTTTTCTTTCTATTATCACGGGGCTGTTGACTCAGGCCAGGATTTTTGTAAAAATTTCTAGAGGACATTTGCCCTTTTAAGCTCAAAAATGTTTGCCTCTTTCTATGAACACATGCTTTTGGAAGTGGGAATCTCACATTACATGTCGCTGCTCATTAATTCAATTGAGTAGGTCTCATTTCTTTCCCAAAAATTCCAGGAAAACTCATTATATTCCTCTATAAATTATGAATCACATATTTTCTATGAAATAATATGATTAGAAAAAATAAAGTATTATAAATAATCTGATAGGACCACTCATGACCTGGTGAAAATCAGGAAAATGGGGAAAAAAACCCTTCAGCTGTTTTGAGATCCCCTGACTTTAGACTAGCTGTCCCCCCAGTGCCTATGCCTGAGCGTGGATAGCTGCTGCCGACTGCACTGAGTGGCATGGGGTCAAGGTTATTATGATTTCTCATTACCTCATTATTAACCAAGAATAGACTATATTATAAAGGGGAAAAAAACAGACTTTTTATATGTCAGCCACAGATCTGAGGAGTGTCGCGTACATTCTAGGTTCCTATGTAAAGCCCAATAGAAGAGACACAGAAGGAAGCTATGTGCCACACTTTCTAAACTTCAGAACATTGCTTTAGCCGTGTGATTGGCTTGACAACTACTAGTGAATTCTAATTTGGAAAACAATCCAAAACGAGCATACAAGTCCTCCAAACTGCATTAGAAAGTTTTGCTCTTTACACATTAAAGCCAATACTCCAGAGGCATATTCCTTGGATAATTTAAAGATTGACTCCTCAGATCGGCAACAGGCCCGACTCCCCATGGCCAGTTGACAGTGACCATCTGAGGCCAGTGTTGCCGGAATCTAGACAGGACGCTTAGGCTTAGTCAGAAAGCTTGTGGAGCAATGCGAGCCAGAGGCACGCACACTACATGCATGTGGGCCTGACCCTCAGCTCACCTTCTGTGCCCTAAAGCACACGATGCTGTCCAATTAGTTTCTCCACTCGCTGTGAGGAAAATCAAGAAAAAACAACAACAAAAACCCAGAAAACTATACACAGAATGTTTCCTGTAGAAGGAATTTAAACTTGGATAATCTATGATTCTAAGAGAAGAGTCAAACTGTTGTTAGATGTTTAATATCTGTGTAGCTTAGGAAGAGAACACACAATTTGTTTTCTCACTTAAAATGAAACTTGTCTGAATAAACTGGCTTTATGGAAGAACATTGCAATATAATGTTACATAACTTTCACAATACCTTTTTTCTAAGAGTTCAGTACTTGAAAGATGACATTGATGAAGTGTTTAAACTCGTATATTTGTAATATATTCAAGGTGGCATATTTTGACTGAGTAATGCAGCATTTTATCTGCCCAATTGAAGGTGACCTCAACTTCTATCTCCTTCTCTGGACACTTGGTACAACTTGGGACTTTAGGCTCGATGATAGAGCGGTCGCTGGGAAGTCAGGAAGTAAATGAGAGACGTGAGAATGAGTATGGGCTGTCTATGATGTCAAATTTTAGAGGAAATAGAAAGTCTTTGAAAATCAAAGCATATTCTTTGAACATAATAGAAACTCTGTTACTCCATTTAAATAAGAAAAAATTAATTATACGTTTAAGATCAGTTCACTCAAAGTAAAACGAAACTCATCAAGTAATAGCACTTACCGTGATTTTTGTTTGTGTTTTCCCTCTTCAAGTATATAACAAAATTGGGAAGAGGGTATTTTTCCTCATCCAAAAGGGTATTATTGACACTTGTGCGTCAATAACAGTGTTAGGTTGTTTATATTTCTGAAATGTGATGCCAGGAGAAATAAATGCTAACATCTGTGACATAAATTAATGGGAAATGATGCTGTCATAATCAGGAAATGTGAATGATCACAAAGATCAAGTGTTTACAGCAAAAAGTATTTTTTCAGAAAAGTTTTTAAACTGTGGTTGAAAAATAGCGGTAGTAAAGTTATGACTGTCGTATTCAGATGATGTCTGTTACTCACAAGTAACACATTATCACCTCGCTGCAGTTCTCATGCTGTCAGAGTTGTGCTGACTATGCTTTCGGAAGACAGAAGTAAAAGTTGATTTTAGCAGTACAGGGAGTTAAAGTGCTTCACACCTCAGCCATCGCAACCCACTTTCAATGTATTACATATGAGCAGTATGCTTTACAATGTCCTCATTTTTTTTTTTTTTTGAGACGGAGTTTCGCACTTGTTACCCAGGCTGGAGTGCAATGGCGTGATCTCGGCTCACTGCAACCTCCCCCTCCTGGGTTCAGGCAGTTCTCCTGCCTCAGCCTCCTGAGTAGCTGGGATTACAGGCACACGCCACCATGCCCAGCTAATTTTTTTTTTTTTTGTATTTTTAGTAGAGACGGGGTTTCACCATGTTGACCAGGATGGTCTTGATCTCTTGACCTTGTGATCCACCCACCTCAGCCTCCCAAAGTGCTGGGATTACAGGTGTGAGCCACCGCACCTGGCCAATGTCCTCATTTTTATACAATGATGTATACATCTTATAATTTATACATTCAAACACTGAACGTTGGTGAAAACACAGTCTTGTAAAAGCTGTACAGCTAACTAGAGAGATTCTGCCTGTGTCAATAAGGGAACAAACAAAGAATAAACTTTTTTTTAATTCATGGAAAGAATAAAAATGATAATGATGACTTGAACTTCCCCCAACTAGCCTCTATGAACACTGAACACAGCTGAATATACAACTTTCCTGAGGCGTCTCAAAGATTCGCAGGTTTATAGAAGTTCAGCAGGGGACCACATTAAGTGTGTTTCAATCAGCAGGAAGCTTTTCTACTTTATAGCTTTCTCCTATGAAAGTACATTCCTCAGAAGATATATTGTAAGTTACATAAATTTAAACATACACAAGTGCCGTGTATATATTAGAGGTGAATATAGGAGTCTGTCTGTAAAACATGCTTTGATTATCTTCAGTACCTATATTTTCTATATTGAGAAATAGCTATTACTTTTTAAAATAATTCCTTTAAAAAGTCATTCAATATTTCTTTTCCAATAATTCGAAATTTCACAATATTAGTTGCAATCAAACATTTACTATCACCGGGGAGATATAACAGGGGTCCTCAATTCATTTTCGCTGAAACAAGAAGAGTATTTATCATCCTCCAGACAAGCGATGTGGAAACAGGACTGCTTGAATAATGATGTGGCAAAGTACTAGATTCAGTTCTCTGCATGTTCAGCTCTATCCTCCTGGACATGTTGGTTCGTTCTAAATCTCACAGCAAGAACACTGCCACAGTTCCAAGAATCAGCTCCATAAGGCAGGACCCAGGGCAACTGGGAAGTGCAACGGCCTTCCCATTGTGTTACCTTCATAGTTTCAAGCAATTCTTTAACCAATCACTTTGGAAAGAAGGGAAGGAGAAAGAACGAGGATCAAACACAAGTCGAGGAGTCAAACTCCGTAACTTACCTTTTAACACTTGCATAAGATACTAGGATTGGAACGTTCTTGGGGAGGAATCTGGGGCTGTGAAAGTAAACTAAACAAACACTATGAACACGTTCGAAAGGACATGCTTTATTTTTCAACTCTCAATTACTAAAAAAATAAATTCTCTTTTTCAAACAAATGGAAATCGCTGACTAATAAATGACCTACAATCATTAATAATCAACAGCATCTGAAAGACAACCAGGACCCTCCTTTTAATCAAAACTCGCTCTGGGATGATTTAGTAAAACCTAAAGTCTAGGATCTTGGATGCACCATTAAGATTTCTATTTAAGTTTTTATTGTTACAGTCAATATGATAAGCTACTGTCCAACATGGTCATTATATTTTGCCCTACTTTGTACAAATTGCTCTATATAGAGCGTGTACTTTCAGGTTTTGATACAGTGAAAACAGAAGTTTTAGAAAGTGAATGATATATATTTTAGAAACGTCACTAGAAAAGTGTTTGGAATAAAAACATGATCTAATACTAGGGTATATAGGCTTTAATTAACTAGCTAGTGAGATTCCATCTGTGTCAATAGGGGAGCAGACACAGATTAATATTTTTCTTAATTTATGGGAAAAAGTGACAACTTGAATTTTTTCAAAGTACATCTTTCTAAACAGTGAACATACCTGAAGATATAATTTTCCTCAGGCCTTTTTGAAAGACACATGGAATTTACAAAAATTCAGCAGGGGATCATATTATGTGTGTTTCCATCAACAGGTGTATTCTGTATTTTATGGTGTTCTCCTACGCAAATAGTAAAGTGGAAGGCAAGAGCACTGAAAAATTACTCATAATTTTAAAGGAAACCTTGTACTGACAGCCACATTCCTCCCTTTTGTGTGAAGCATTGAGCTTCCATTATAGCTTAGGTTTTGATTTAAACATTCTTCTTGCTTTGAGAAGATAAAAGTAAAAGTTTCTATCAGTAGTATAGGGAGTTAAAATGCTTTACACCTAAGCCATAATAAGCTACTTTCAATATATTACACATGAACAGAATGTTTATAAATGTCCTCAGCTTTATACAATGATATATACATTTTATAACTTAGACATTCGAACATGGAATATATTCATTCAAATACTTGGAGCAGTATTTCTAACATGTGTTTGAGGTGTGAAACAAGAAAAAAGCAAATGAGAGAGTAAAATTGGGGAGACGTTTTTTGTACTTTGTTTTTAACTGTGTTGCTTGTTATAGAAACAGAAATGTGTACCACAGAGTGAAACAGCAATGGCAGGTAGCAGTGATTTTAAAAATACGAGTGTCAAATGGAATTTCTATTTCTAGGTCCTTGAGGAATTGCCAGCAGGGGGTGGGGAGTTTGGGAGAGAGAGCATGGGGAGAAATGCCAGATATAGGTGATGGGGAGGAAGGCAGCAAATCACACTGCCATGTGTGTACCTATGCAACAATCATTCGTGTTCTTCACATGTACCCCAAAACCTAAAAGGCAATGAAAATATATAAATAAATAGGCTATGTTATAAATAGGTACATCACTATCATTTAAAAAAATAAATAAAAGTGTCCCGGGTACATTATGCCATATGGTGGTAGCAGGGATAGCAGAACAGAACTAGAAAATGAAAATCCTCTCCGATTCGGTGCTTAAACCCTAACGAGCTCAGCGGATAATTGTAGGGTCTCAAATTATCCTACAGCGATGTCCATTTCCTATCAATTAACTTACTAGAGTTACTGATTGGTGATCAATCTGGCTTTCAAGTCACAGCCAACCCACAGAACCCCTGGGACTTTCAAGTGGTGTATAAAAAATTTCAAGATGTAGATGAAAACATAATGCATACTTAGGCAGGAGAAGACAGCCGGAGTAAAAAAATGTCAAAAGTCGGTCTTGACTAACTAGGTAACCCAGTATAAACCGTAGTTGATAAAACTAGATGTATTTATCTCTGAAAAACAGAAGGAAGTCATTATAGTTAAGGATTTATATCAGAATGTCAAGCAAAATTATTCCAGACAGACAGAAAAACAAGCTTCCAGACTACAAAATATTTTTATGGTATGCCTAGAATTTTGAGTGAAAATTATTGTAGACTGATTGTCACATCAGACTATCAAAAAGTTCAATAGTGCCAAAATGGAATGCTAGAAAATATATTATAGTAGTTGAAATCATTAAAAGATTTTTTTTCTATTCTAAAAGAGGTTAAGTCTACAGGTTAAGACTCACAGAATATTATGAGTCTAAATGTATATATTGAATATTGGCAGGTAACTACCCCAAAAATACAAAGTATAATGTCTAAACCAACAGAGATAAAAAGAACAGAAATATTTTAAATGCAAAAAGAAACAGATGGCTTTTATCAAACCCTGCACAACTTTAGGGATTGCGCTTCATTTGCCATTATTGTCAGGTTGTAGTCTCAGTTTTGCACAAACATAAATAACCAATTTATGGTATAAACCCTTTTCCTGTTTGCCCGGAAAATAGTTGCTGGTAGTGTTTGTGGGTGTAATGTTGACTCCGAGATAATTTTGCCACCACTATTTCTTTTTTACTATTATTTTCACATCACTCTAGGATATCATCTTTGGAAGCAAAAGACATCATTCTATTTACAGTATTCTGCTTTTAGTAGTGGTATTTCCATTTACAAAATATAGTATTCTGGATTGCTGAAAATGCTGAATCCTAGAAAATGTAGCATTCTTAAGCATGTATTCTCAAACAGTTGTTGGTTGAAGATTAATTTGATGAATTCGATTTTTCCAAAATAGACAATTCTGATGATTCAGACAATTCTGCTGTGAGTTCTGTTTAGAAATAACTCCAAGAACAGCTGTTACGTTTTATTTTCATGTTGAAAATCAGTCAGATTTGCTTCAGCCTCAAAGAGTGTGTTTATGTAAAATTAAATGAACACTGGCCCCAAGCTGTACTTTTTCTTTTCTAATCAGGAAAAGGGTTAAAGAAAATAAATTCCATACCAGCTTCAACTATCTTCATTGTTACGTAAACCTTTAATAAAATCTGGTCATTAAAGAATCAATAGTCTGCTGGGCGCAGTGACTCAAGCCTCTAATCCCAGCACTCTGGGAGGTCGAGGCCAGCGGATCATGAAGTCAAGAGATCGAGCCCATCCTGGTCAACATGGTGAAACCTCGTCTCTACTAAAAATACAAAAATTAGCTGGGCATGGTGGTGCATGCCTGTAAACCCAGCTACTCGGGAGGCTGAGGCAGGAGAATTGCTTGAACCTGGGAGGCAGAGGTTGTAGTGAGCCAAGATTGTGCCACTGCACTCCAGCCTGGTACCTGGTGACAGAGTGAGACTCTCAAAAAAAAAAAAAAAAAGGAATTAATATTCATATTATTTTCATTAACTTTAAGGTACTGAAATTTGGATATCCTCATTTACTAAATATGCATATCAAGGAAGAAAATGTTTTAGTTTGTTTTATGTTTAAATACTAATGGACTCCCCAGAACATTAACTAAGGAAATAACTGGGAAAAAAAACAGTATATTAAGGATCTTGGTATAAAAAGCCAAACTATGTAAAATATATAAAGTTGTTTATTCTGAGCCAATATGACTAATCATGGTCTGGGTATAGTCTCAAAAGATCCTAAGAATGTGTGCCTAAAGTTGTTTGGTTACAGTTGGTTTTATACATTTTCGGGAGACAGAAATTAGAGCGAAGACATAGATAAATACATACAAGGTATACACTGGTTCAGTCTAAAGTGATGGGACATGCGAATTTCATGGGGGAGGCTTACAGGTCATAAGAGGTTTTAAAGATTATCTGACTGATAATTGATTGAGAGAGATAAGCTTTGTCTAAAGACTTAAGAAGTCACTAGAAGGAAATACTTGATTTAAGACAAGGGGGATTGAGAAAGCCACACTTTTTGTTAAGTAGAAGCCTCTAGTAGCAGACTTTAGAAAGAATAGATGGTAAATGTCTCTTTTGAGAAATTAAAGGATATCAAAACCTTAGTTGAATCTCTCCTAAATCCAGGGAAGAACTAGAAAGAGAAGGAGATTTTTCTACAGATGCAAATGTGCCCCAAAAGAGAGGGTCATTTCAAAATATGTCAAGAAATCCATTTTGGTGTAAAATACTTGAATTTCCTTCAGGGCCTGCTGGTTTTCATATAATGCAATAGCACAGTCAGCTTGGAATTTAGTATCTTTTTGCCACAAAGAGACTATTTGGTCAGTTTCACCATCTCTGTGTTAATGTTCATGCTGGTCAGTTGTGTCTAAACTCCAAAAAAGAGACGGTATAATGAGGCGTGTCCAAACTCCTTTCCTGTCATGCTGGCAATTCAGTTTTTTAGGTTTCCCTTGGGCCCAGAAGGAGTTCACTCAGCTGGTTGGGGAGCTTAAGGTTTTATTTTTGGTTTACAAAAGGAACTGGAAATTAGAATGACACATTTAAGAGATTTTAAGTTCTAGCTTTAACATGTTGAGGAAGGAGACCCCTTCCTCTTCCGCTTCTACGACCGCTTCCCCTTAGCCTTCTACATTGCATTTCGAAAGGAGAAATAAAAGTTGAAAATAGCACAAAGTCAGTGGAGACAAAACTAGTGCCACTAGCTGGACCTGGAGGTTAGAGACCAAACCCCCACCCTAGTTCCTATCTTGTCTATACATGGCAGGCATGGTATGGAGGAATCTTCCCCAAGGCTTCGTTCTTGCTTAATCATGATTAGACCCCACCCAAGTCACGTACCCCTCACTTATCTCACTGATCATGACCCTCTCACAGGTACCCTTGAAGACTGTGAGTCTTTAAAAGAGGCCAGGATTTTCCAGTCAGGGAGCTCAGTTCTTGAAAGGTGAGTCTGCCAAGACTCCCGGCTGAATAAAAAGCCACTTCCTTCACAAACCTGGTGTCCAGAGGATTTTGTCGGCAGCGTGTCCTGCTCCAAGGTAAGGAGCTTAACAGGTGTCACTCTCATCTTTATAACAACAACAAAAGAACAAACTGAAATTTTATGAGTTTTTTGGACCAAGCAGAAAACTGAAGTTGGGGCCAGGTGCGGTGGCTCATGCCTGTAATCCCAGCACTTTGGGAGGCCAAGGCAGGTGGATCACAAGGTCAAGAGATCGAGACCATCCTGGTCAACATGGTGAAACCACCTCTCTACTAAAAATACAAAAAATTAGCTGGGCATGGTGGTGCATGCCTGTAATCCCAGCTACTCAGGAGGCTGAGGCAGGAGAATTGCCTGAACCCAGGAGGCAGAGGTTGCAGTGAGCCGAGATCGCACCATTGCACTCCAGCCTGGGTAACAAGAGCGAAACTCCATCTCAAAGAAAAAGAAAACTGAAGTTGGAGAGGAAAACAACACTCTGACATCTGAAGATACAGACACATCCAAAGAGACAGCGAAACAGATCTGTTCCCCTGGAGCAGGAGTGCTGGAGCCATTAGCTGGCTCAAGCCCTGGAACAGTCCTTGGGATGAATCACGGGAGGCTGGATGTGCGCTAGTGTGAGGATGAGAGGCTTCTGGGAGCTGCCTTCTCAGAAAGCCACTTGCACTTTCAAGGACTCTACCTCCAGGAATCCACTAGCTTCTCATTGTAAAGGTCCGACTAAGATCCCCATATGGCTTTGGAAGAGGAGAGGAAGAGCCATCGTTGTGAAATAGGCCTAGAGTGCTGGCCACAAAATAGTGCACTCTCCTAGGAAACACCTCCTAGGATCTTTTCTCACCTGAGCAAGGGCATTCCTCAACCTCCACCCACTCTGTTCTGACTGTCTCACATAAGGAAAGAAAAAATAAATCTCTATCAGAAGAGAAACAAGGTGAAAGCTACCACCTAGAGTCACAGCATCATGGAAAGGCTAATTTAACATAAGATAAAGAAATCTCTCTCTTCTTTGTACCTTACAACAATACCAAAGAGGACGGCATAAAACAGTGACTTACAGCTCAAATGGTTCAAAGTAGAGACTCCCTAAAAGAGGGGTATCACTGAAACCCAAAGCTAAAGGGGGGCACAAAAACAAGGACAATGGAGGAACTTGAAGACAGCGGCACTAACGGTAACAGCAAACATGAAATAAAAAGCTAAAATCCTAACCTTATTAGCATAAATCATCACAACAAGGGCCCATATACCCGAATTGGTATTAACTGATACAGCGTGTTGAGGCAAGAAAGGGAGCAAAACAGACCTCTGGAGCACCGAACTAGGAAGGAAGGGGTGACTTATTCGGCCGGGAGCAAGGCGGCATAGTTGCCTAACAGCCAAGTTCGAGCTCACAGAGAAAGTCCCTGCCCTTTTAAAGGCTTACAGCTCTAGAAATTACATGTGAAGTGGTCTTGGGCTTACAACTCTAGAATTTACATGTGAAAGTGCCTTGGGCATGGAGTAGGCATGGACTACAGTGACTTACATGGGGTTTGATCTTGTTGAAGTAAAAACAATGCCTTCCCAGAAGACTCCTCCACACCTTGACTGGATCTATAGGAGGGGGATTAAGGTGGCACTGGCTCTGTCAGCCTTTATTTCTCCCATTGAGATGCAGTGTGGAAGTCAAGGCGGGGATGTTCTTAGATACTTAAGCATGATTCGGGATCTCCTACCTCAGTGTTATTATTCTATGAAACAATAAAAGCCAACCAAATGCATGAAAAAATAGAATCTGAAGAATAACACAAGCGTTAGAAACAGATTCAGACATGATACATAAATGCTGGAATTTTTACCTAAGGAAATTAAAATTGATACAGGAGCTAAAAGGAAATTATTTAGGCAGATGCTGAGGGTAAGAGAGTCCTTGGTGGAATTTTCTTTTAATAAAAAGCAGCCCAAAAGTCATTTATTTTCTAACAAAAAGTAGCCTAAAAAAAGCCACAAACACAGATATGCAAACTAGAAGCTTGTAAAGGTAAATGCTGGTCGCTGTGTCAATGGAAAAGGGACACCTGAAACCAGGCACGTTCAACAGGGAGGATCCATCTTGCCTTTACTTTGTTGCCACTCGTGCAGTAAAAAGCAGGCAACATGGTGCTGCCCAGGCAGACAACATGTCTGCATAACAAAAGATGAGGGTGGGGTGGTCAGCTTCTTCACGCTGCATAAATGGCACACCGGGTCCAACCAATTCTTTCCAACCAACCAATTTGCACAGTAATTGGTGTATAAACCAGACACCACCTCCTCAAGTTCATCTATAAAACCAACTGCATCTTGCCACAAACAGGGAGATCCACTTGGAACCCCCTCCCTCTGCATGAGGGGGCTTTTCTCTCTTGCCTAAACTTCTGTCCTTAAACTCATTCCTTGTGTGTCTGTCCCTTTAATATCCTTGATGAGATGCAAGGAACCTCTGGTATTACCCCAGACATACAATACCACTTCAAAATGACTATAATGAGTATAATAAGGACCTTAATGAAAAAAATGTAGACAGGGTTCCACAACATATAAATAATGAAAGCAGAGATACGGTAACTCTAAAGAAATAATAAAATGCAAATGTTAGAAACAGTACTCTAGAAAAATCGCAACGGCACCGGAGAATGCCTTCAATGGTTCAGCAATCAAACAATCAGTGATCTTAAAGACAGATCCAAGCACACTTTTCAAACAGAAATACAGAGACAAGAGCAAGTGGCAGTGGACATGTGGGGAAAGAATAGCCAAAAATAGAATCACAAGAACCGTGGAGCAATTACAAATGTGTATGTGACTGGAATACCCAGCGGAGAAGAAATAAAGAATGAAGACATTTGAAGTACTATTTTGAAGCACTAATAGGTAAGAATTTGCTAAAATTAGTGACAGAGACCTGACTAGAGATCTAGGGAGTTCAACAAACACAAAATAGAATAAAACCAAAATATCTACATTGAAACAGCTACTAAGTGGCATATGGCACACAGCATGGGTACACTAGACACCGGGAGGATTCACTAGACACCAGGAGGATTCACTAGACACCGGGAGGATTCACTAGACACCAGGAGGATTCACTAGACACCAGGAGGATTCACTAGACACCAGGAGGATTCACTAGACACCGGGAGGATTCACTAGACACCGGGAGGATTCACTAGACACCGGGAGGATTCACTAGACACCGGGAGGATTCACTTTCCAGAAAGGGTAGAGAAAAGGTGGTGGGAAGTTCTATGGTACTATGCACAGTGCACAGAATGTAAAACTTATACATTTATTTCTATAATCTTCCATTTAGTATTTTCAGACCACAGTTGACTGTGAGCAACTGAAACCAGGAAAACTGAAACCACAGTTAAAGGGAGGGGATAGCTGTATTTTATATGATTCCATTATATAATCTCTGGATTGTAAATTTAACATGCAGAAAAACAGTTACAAACATTAATCTAATGACACCAATATTTGATCTGACTATACCAGTGTTAAACTGATTATGTCAATGCTACCTTAAATCTGAATGGTGTAAATACAGATAAAATCACAAAGACAGTGGTGAATAAAAAAACCCAAATCTATGTGATCACTAACTAATTCAATTTTAACTAAAGTCTTAGATGATTTAAAACTAAAGGAGTGGTTGAGAAAGAAAGAAAGACAGAGATGTGTAGGGAGTTAGAAGGATCAAATGTCATAATGAACTAGGCCTAACATACACAGAATACTTCAGCCCACAAGAGCAGACTGTACACTCTTCTCAGATAAAATTGCACATTTTTCAAGATAGACCATGCCTCATAGCTGAAAACAAGTCTCAATTTGTTGTATAGGATAGATATTCAAAGTATGTTCTCTGATTGCAACAAGATGAAATTAAAAATAAATAACAGAAGAAAACCTGAAAAACATCACAAATATGTAGAAATTTTTAAACACACTCAACTAATGAGTCAAAAGGAAAACACAGGATAAATTTTAAAGTATTCATTAATGACTAAAATAAAAAAACACACACACAACATATCAAAACTTATTGGAACAGTGAAAGCAGTACTCAGAGGGAAATTGATAGCTGAAAAGGCCCACACTGAAAAAAGAAAGATCTGAGATCAATAATCTAACTTTACATTTTAAACAACTAGAGAAAAATGAGCAAACTAAACACAAACTAGTGAAAACAGCATTCAAATAATGCAAAAAACAACAACAACAAAACCAGGTATTCATATCTCAAAGAACCTACATGGTCCACCATACACAAAAATTAGTGCCAAAAAAAAAAAAATCAAAGTTCTAAATTAAAGACTTAAAACTGTAAAATTTCTTAGGAGAAAGCATTGGGGACTTCTTTTGTGACATTAATATTGGCAATTTTTGTGGACAAAACAACAAAAGGAAAAATAGGTAAGTTGAATTAGAACTTTTGTGCATCAAAGGATACTATCAAGGAAGCAAAAGACAACCAACTTAATGAAAGACGCTATTGCAAATCATATTATTTGATAAAAGATTACTTTTCAGAATATGTAAAATACCTTCTAACACTCAACGACAGCAAAAACAAAATAAACAACCCAATCAAGCATGAGCAAAGAATTTTAATAGAAATTTTTCCAAACAAGATATGCAAAGGGGCAATAAAGTCATTAACATATGCTCAATATTATTAGTCAGTAAGAAAATGCATAAAAATCCACAGTAAATTATGACAAGTGTTGGTGTGTAGGATGTGGAGAAATAGGAGCCCTTTTGTATTGCTGCTAGCAAAGTAGACTAATGCAGCCACTGGTGAGCAGTTTAGTGTTTCCTCAAAAATATACAACAACCATAGGAGTCAGCAATGCCATTTTTCTTTTTTTTTTTTGTATATATGCAAATTTCAAAAAATAAAATTTTTATGCATGACATAATATGCATGAACCTTGATAACATGCTAAGTGAAATCAGCCAGACACAAGAGAGCAAATACTGTAATTCCGTTTGTATGTTGTTCCTAGAATAAGCCAATCCAAAGAGGCAGAAAGCAGACTTTAGGTTACCAGGAGCTGAGGAGGAGAAGAGTGTGAAGTTGTTGCTTAACTGTAAATGTTTTCGGTATAGACAGTGGTAATGAGTTCACAGCATTGTGAAGGTATTTAATACCTCTGAGTCGTACGCTTACAAATGAATAAAATGATGAATATTACATTATGCATGTTTTACCACAAAAAAAAAATAACTGGCAAAACCGAAACAGCAATATGTGTAAAAAAAATTTATACCATGGCAAGGTAAAATTTTATCATGAATGCAGTTTTAAAATTTTTTTAAATATAATAACATATAAAAATATGGTAGGTCCCATAGAAAAGGGCATTGTTTCATATTTTATTGTATGTAATACACCATACAAAGGACAAAGGGCAAGTCCTCATAATTGTCTTAATAGGCAGAGAACAAGTTTGATAAACCCAACGTCCTTTCAGAATTGAAACACTCAGCAAAGTAGGAACCCAGATAACAAAAGGAAAAAAAAAGAAAAAGGAATTGAAAGTGACAAAAGAAAAATGTAGAAAAATGTCTGCTCTTTCATATTCTATTCAAAATGTGTTAGACATTCTAGCCAAAGAGAAAAGGCAAGAAAAAAAGATATTTGGATAAAAAGGAAGGAAGGAAGGCAGGAAGGCAGGAAGAAGGAAGGCAGGAAGGCAGGAAGGCAGGAAGAAGGAAGGAAGGAAGGAAGGAAGGAAGGGAGGGAGGGAGGGAGGGAGGGAGGGAGGGAGGGAGAGAGAGAGGGAGGGAAGGATCTCTATTTGCAGATGCCATTATCTTATACACAGAAAATTCTCAGCAATCTAGTCAGAAAAGTTATTTGAAATAATAATAAAGTCCAACAAAATTTCAGGATAAAAGATTATCGTAAGAAATATTTCCATAAAGTTGCAATGAACAATGGAATTATGAAAAACTTCCATTTGCAATAGCATAAAAAAACAGCATATTCGGGGTCTCTAGTATATATGAAGGGGAGTTTATTAAGGAGAATTGACTCATATCATCGCAAAGTAAAGTCCCACAATAGGCTGCCTGCAAGGTGAGGAGCCAGGAAGCCAGTCTTAGTTTAGAGACTAAGCAGGGAAACTGACAGTACAGCCTTTGGTCTGTGGCAAAAGGGCTGAGAGCCCCTGGTAAACCACTGGTGTAAGTCCAAGGGTCCAAAAGCGAAAGAACTTGGAGTCTCATGCTCTAGGGTAGGAAGCACTCAGCATGGGAGAAAGATGAAACCCAGAAGACTCATCCAATCTGCTCTCCATCTTCTGCCTGCTTTATTCTAGCTGTGCTGGCAGCTGACCGGATTGTGCCCACCGAGATTGTGTGGATCCGCCTCCCCCAGCCCACTGACACAAATGTTAATCTCCTCTGGCAACACCCTCACAGACACACCCAGGAACAATACTTTTCATCCTTCAATCCAATCAAGTTGACACTTACTATTAACCATGACAAACAGGAATCCACTAACACAAGAAGTGTGAGAGTCTCATACTGAAAACTATAAAACGTGGTTGAGAAAATGTAAAGATCTAAAGAAATGAAAAAAATACCCACACTTCATGGATTAGAAGACAACATTGTTCAAGTGGCAGCATTCCAGAAATTCTTCTAGAGATTCAACACCGTCCTTGTCAAAACCAGTCTTCTTTTATTTGTTTTCTAAATTATTTATCATTTATTGGTTTGCTTGTTGATTTATTTATTTTGATTTTATCTTATTTTCTTTAATGAATGTCTTGTACAGTAACCCAGGCTGGAGTGTAGTGGCACAATTATGGCTCACTGCAGCCTCAAACTTCTAGGCAGTAGTGATCTTCCCACTTCAGCCTATAAAGTGGCTGAGACTACAGGCACATGCCATCATGCTTGGAAAACATTTATAAAATTGTTCATAGAGGTGAGGTCTGAATATTTTGCCTAGGCTGGTCTTGAACTTTTGGTCTCACCTGATCTTCCCACATTGGACTCCCAAACTGCTGAGACTACCGACATGAGCCAGCTCCCAGCCTGCTTTTAATAGAGACTGACAGGCTGATGCTAAAATTTCATGTGGAAATTCAGGTTGCTAATAACAGCCAACACAGTCTTAGAAAAAGAAAACTACTTAGGAGGATTCACATTCCCTAATTTTAAAATTTCCTGCAGTAAACAAGACAGGGTGGTAGAAAAATACAAACCAACATACAGATTAACAAAATATATTTCAGTTCAGAAATGTGCCCTTACATTTATGGTCAATTGATTTTTGACAAGGACAAAATAATTCTTAGAATAAATGGTGCTCGGACAAGAGGACATCCACATACAGTAGAATGAAGTTGGACCCCCACCTCACACCACGTACAGAAAGTAACTGAAAATTAATCACAGACCTAGGTAGAAGTGCTAAAAATATAAAACAGAATAAATCTTCATGGTCTTGGCTTTAGCAGTGGTTTATTAGATATGATGTTGAAAGCCTACGTGGAAAAACATGAATAAATTAGACTACATCAAAGTTAAAAACATTTTTACTTTAAACAATACCATTAAAATAGTGAAAAGGAAACCCACATGATGAGATGAAATACTTACAAGTCATGTATTTGATAAGGATCTCATATTCTGAACAAGAAAAGAGCCCTTTGAAATCAATAATACAAGAACAAATGACCTAATTTAAAAAGAAGCAAAGACTCTGAATAGACATTTCTCCACTGAAGATGTACAAATAACAAATGGGCACATGAAAGATGATGAATATTGTAGGTCACGGGGAAATGCAGATCAAAATCACAGTGTGATTCCTCTTCAAATCTACAAGACTGGCAATTTTTAAAAGATAGTTAATTATAAGTGTTGGTGGGGACAGAATTTGGAACACTTGCGTGTTGCTACTGGCAATGGAAAACAGCAGTTACTCAGAAAACTCTTTAGCAACACCTCAAAATCTTAAAAATACAGTTAGCGTTAGCATGTAATCTCACAGTTCTACAAATTCTACATATATACCTGTGGAAAAAATCAAAACCTAGCTTCACAAAACCACTTGTACACAGATGCTCATAGAGGTATTATAAATAGTAATTCCTAAATGGAAACAACACTAATGTCTATCAATTGATACATATACACATAAAACATAATGACATTATACAAGGAAATGAAGTACTGATGTATGCTACAGTATGGATACACCTTGAAAGCATTACACTAAGTGAAAGAAGTCAGTCGCAATAGACCCCATGTTGTGCCATTCCAATTACATGCAGTGTTCAGTATGGCAAATCTTAGAGAGACACAAAGTAGGTCTGTTGTTGCTTAGAGCTGGGCTCGGAGTTAGAATGAGAATTGACATCCTAATGAGGTTGCTTTTGGGAAGGCTAGTTTTTCTTTCTTTTTAATTAGATTGTAGTTATGAACTTATAACTCTGCTAATATACTAAAGTTTATATAAATTGCACACTTTAAAACAGGAAATTTTATGGCATGTGAGTTATATCTATGTAAAACCATTAATAAAAATAATATTTATTGCTTTAGGAATAATATAAGAAACAAATATATTTAGCGATAAAAATACTCTCAAAATAAAGTATTTTTTATTATTTTTCCTTTTGTATTAGGCATACTAGTATTCTTCTCTATTAATCTATTGAGAAGTTATAATACTATTACTACTTAAGAAAAACAAATACTATGCAATCATTTGGAGTCTACGTTCAGTTACTTGTTCTTGCCCTAAATAAACTACCTCATATATTCATCCCATAAGTATTGTACTTTACAGAAAACGTCATTAATAATGGATTGACACTGCTGATGGATGTCTTGGCAACAGTAGGGTTTTTTACTAATCAAATGCTGCAATGACTTTTTGAGTTCGTTTTTCATGTGGGTAATGTGTATATTGCATTTCCACTAATTGTACAAAACCATCAAAACCTCATAGGTGAAATCGGCTATCTCTAGGATACTGGTGAGTTTTCTATTTCTGCCTAGGCTATTTTCCAGATTACCAAGACTGATAAAGATATTAAAAGTGGAGTTATTGAGAGCAGTGAATAAACCGCCTATTATATTCACTTCCTTTTAAGATTCAACCATTAATCAATTAATACTTATGAAGTTGACAAAATTTCCATCAAGGTAGAATGATCTACCTATGAGATACTGTTAGTCAGTATATACCTATGATTATTGATATGTTTTCTACCACGATATACACTATTTTTTAAAATATAGAGTATGGTGTTCTATATGGGTACATAAGTACAAGAATCATTGATATTATAATGCCTTAGTTATCCGAGGAGACAATGGGTAAATTTTTATTGTAATAAATTAAATATAGTTCTTGATATTCAAAAAATTTTTTTCTTTAATGACTTGGAATATTCTCTAAAGTGTAGTGATTAACCCTCTGTCTTTGGAACATAATTCTGAATCTTCTGAAATTACTTTGTTACTCTTTGACACAACTGCAAATTTGTTACAATAAATGTATATTTTAATTTTGAGAAATAGATATGTAATTCTTGGCCTCTACTCGTTAAACAGAGATAGTGAATCAAGGTGAAATATATCTATCTACAAATTATCTTTTGTTGAAGAAAAAACTCTAAATATCAGAAGCAATATTATTATTTTGAACAAATTTTGTTTCATTTGTTTTTTGATTTGAGAAAATAACACAATGCAAACACACAAGCTCGTGCTGTTGTTCTATTTCTGCTCCTATCTGGGAAGAAGAAGGCAGAAAACCTGGAAAAGCTCCTACCTTAATCCCAACAATCAAACAATGGCAAAGGACTTTTCACTTTTGACCAAGAAAGAGCTGGCAGATGAGAAAGGCTACCAACAAAATACTTAATTTGTTATGATTTGTGTGACTTATTTCGGCAGGAATCTGGCTTAAGATTCAGAATCGGCTGGGCGCGGTGGCTCACTGTCTATAATCCCAGCACTTTGGGAGGCCAAGGCAGGTGGATCACTAGGTCAAAAGATCGAGACCATCCTGGTCAACATTGTGAAACCCCATCTCTACTAAAAATACAAAAATTAGCTGGGCACGGTGGCGCACGCCTGTAGTCCCAGCTACTCAGGACGCTGAGGCAGGAGAATTGCTTGAACCCAGGAGGCAGAGGTTGCAGTGAGCCAAGATTGTGCCATTGCACTCCAGTCTGGGTAACAAGAGTGAAACTCCATCTCGAAAAAAAAAAAAAAAGATTCATAACCTCAGCCAATCACTGGAATGACCTGTCTACTAAAATAAATGTAAGTAATGACATCATCTTCCAAAATGAGACATGAAAAGTAGAGAAAACAGTCTCACATAAACTGTTTTCTTCATCGTGCAAATGATCTCTACATTTATGTTAGAAATATTTCTTTAAAATGTCTCATCTCAAATGCTATTTACTGTTAGATTTTACAATCCCACAAAATAAAATGACACCTAGATAAATCTACCTAAACAGTATAATTAATGCCTATCAAAACATTCACACATGAGTATGGTGGCAAAACTCAAAACTCAAACATCAGAATTTTGATATAATTGATAACTGAAAATACTCAGCATTAGTATTTTCACATGACTGATAATTATTTCAACACATGTACTCATGTTGAAACAAATTTCTTTGTTTAGTGAAATTTTGAGTACACTTTTGTTTTCTACTTTTATGTTTGCGAAAGTATTGAATAAAGATGTATCTTTATGAAAAAAAATCAAGTTTGGTGTTGTCAAGGTTTTTCTTCGCCAACCACTTACATGTAATCTCTTTCTCTCTCTCTCTCGTTCTGCTTTCATATGTGTATCTGTAAAATATATGTATGTATCTGAAAGTTTTCTAAAACTTCAGAAGAAAAATACTGGGTAAATAAAAATTATTATTACAGAGAGGTCTCTTATTTTGAACCGCATCTTTTGCTCCCAAATTATTTAAAGGACAGCTAACAAAAAGCTTCTCAGAAACTCAATGAAATTGCTACAACCGCAGGCAGCAATGTAATTCTAAACGTAGTTTTGCCAGAATAATAGTAAGTATTGTTTAAATGGAAATCTCCGTATTATTAGGTAGTAGGTGGTCTAGGACTGATGTCTGTAATAGTTTAAGTTATGTATCAGGCGTTTCTTCAAAAATCCTGCGTCTCTTCCACTGCATCTATCAAGTAACGATAAATGACAACAACTAGAATAATGACAACTACAACAATAGCAAAACCCTTCCTGTGTGCCGGGCATTGTTCAAAATGCTTTACGCTAATTAACTCATTGAATCATCAAGATGCTCCTATTAAAGATAGTAACCCCAGTTTATGGATGAGGCAGCGACATAAAAGTTTGAATAACTTCCCCAAGTCACATCACATGTTAAGTGGTAGGGCCGGGATTGAACAGAAAAATATTTTCAAGCTAAGCTAAGCTTTCTACCGCTGTGTGCTACTTTGCATCTTCCTAACACACACACACACATGCACCCACTTACACAGACATACACACACGCACTTGCATGCGCACACATACATGGCTTTATTTAAATTCTGTTTAAACTCCATGCTTCTCCTACACTAATTATGACATGGTAAAAGCCCCATAAACTGCACACCTTGACCATACCTCTGCTTCCTGTCAAAACTGCTCTCTGTAACACTAATGTGACAGGGTCCAAACCCATGCCATTTTGGCCCCTGAGACTTGTAATAGGTAACCAAGGTCTGTAATTTTCCACCCTACACAGACAATGTGTAAATTAATTCTTATCTTGACTTCTATGAAACACTTAAGTAACAATCAGAATGTCCAAAGTCCCCTGGCCCTCGGAATGTCCAAAGCCGCTCACCCTCACCCCCACCCAGGAGGTTTATGGGCATAAAAGGTCTTGACACCCTCCTTTCGGGACCACGGGTTAGAGAGACATGAGTCCTCCATGGCCACCGGCAATAAATTTGGCCTAGTCTTTTTCTCAGTGGCGATTTCACACTTGCTCAGTTACAACATAATAACAATACAATATTTTCCTTTGTTTCAAGTAATATTCCATAGAGGCTCTGGTGTACCACAAACCTCCATGCAATAAGCCTGTGAAACTGAATTTATTAAACTACACATTTGTCCCTGGTGGTCTTATGCTGATTTGGGGTGAACCAAAGAAAGATTGTACCTACAGAGACTATAATAAACAAGCCCTCAATCAACTCGGTAGAACGATTTCCAGAAATACCCTAGGAGGTACTTTGTTATAATGCCCATTTTATTAAAGTAAATTAATTCGCCCAAGTAATAACTCTCACGGACAAGACTCACATACAGGCACGATAACTCTAGAATCCTTACTCGCAAGCATTGTTATACCATGACAATAGTTGAGCCTTGGAATAAAAAGTTATGTCTTCAGGGCATCCTCATTTTGTTAGCTGAAACCAAAGGAAAATATCAAGTTGCCCAAAGAAAGCAGGAAAATTAAGAACAATGAACTGGACTCAGAAAACGTAAGTGTTAAACACATAGGCAGAAAAAGAGATGAAGAAAACATGAAAGGTGGGGTAAATACCAGCTGTGGGTGCTTGGAGGGTGGCTCAGAGCAAAAAAGGCAACCAGTTTCAATTTCCAAAAGGAAGGGGAGGTGCCATCAAATGAAATAGCGATTCACTAAGGACGAAAGTCTTACATCAAATGAAAGCATCTATGAAATTCAATGGTGGATTTGGAAAACATATTTAAGAAGTAGAGGTCGTGCACAGTGGTTCATGCCTGTAATCCTTGCATTTTGGGAGACTGAGGTGGGGAGACTGCCTGAGCCCAGGAGTTTGAGACGAACCTGGGCAACACAGTGAGGCTTAAAAATATATACAAAAATTAGACAGGACTACTGGTATGCCCCTGTGGTCCCAGACACAGGAGAGGCTGAGGTGATGGATTACAAGGTCAAGGCTGCAGTGAGCCATGATCGTGCAATTGCACCCCAGCCTGGGCAACAGAGTGAGACCTGGTCTCAAAAAGAAAAACAAAAAAAAAAGTAAGAAGAGGTAGAGATTTGTTGAGGGAATTGGATATAAGAAAATGGAGAGAGTGCACATAAAAACTTTAATTTTTTAAAATAAACTTGCCTTAGGAAAAAATAACTATTTTCAATTGTAAGACAAGGTCAAAAGTTTCCTTAGAGTTGACAGAAAAGTAGGCATGTTTATAGCTGAGGAAAAATGCTTTAGTCAAAAGAAAGAGGTTAAAAATAGAGGTGACAGTAACACGAGGGGACACTTATTGGAAAACGCAACAATAACAAAATCAAGATTTTCCTTTAGAAAACTTCACTCTTGGTTATCGATAGGGAAGCCTGACACAGGTGGATGCTCCCACTGAGGGCAATTAGAAAAGGTAAGTAAAATGCCAAAAACTGTTTGACGGAATTGGAGGACTCACATTGTTTCATAACTTAAAAAGCCAGACCCTGGAGGAAAGGAAGCTTTTGTAGGAGAACCTGAGTTTATGCAAGCCCCTTTTCCGCATAAACATTTGCCTACTGGGGGGTGAGAGAAAGGCTAAGAAGCAAGACAGAGGGCAGATGCTAACAAACTCTGGGCGTCCCGTGGAGCAGACAGAACAAAATATTGAAGTTGGTGGATCAGGATGACCAGCGGGTAAGGGGCCAAGATCTCAGAGAGGAGGGAAGCACAGGGACGTGAAAGTGATATTTGGCACCTTGTGTCCTGTTAAGATGTTGCCTGCATCCATCTATGAGGTAGACTGTACGATAATAGTCCACATAGTGAAGGAGAAGAGCCAAGCACAGTGCAGTTGTTGGCAGTATTGCGGCTCTAGAGGACAAAACGGAATCAGGACTCAAACAGGGAGAAGGCTCTAGGAATCATCCCAAGCTCTCAGTTATTTCCCTCTGGGTGCTACACCCTAGGAGCATGGGTAAACCCGAGAAAAACTGCACCTTACACAGACTATAAACAAGCAAGGCTTCACTTCAGTCCCTAACAGATTTGAGGTTATCCGATTTTCACTTCCCTGCCCAAACAGGATACAGCCTCCGTGAAGGAAAAGAACATTATCAGCAGAATGATCAGGTTTTCATAGAAAATTCCGAGCAGTCATTCGAAAATGCTGTAAGCATTCTAGAATAAACAAAGTAGAAAGGCCGCAGAAGCAAACCTGCAGGTGACCAGTATCAGAATGAGTGAATACAAATAAAAGCGTTATAAATTGTGTAATCCACTTTAAAAAAGTACGTCAATGGAAAAATTGGCAAAACTTGATACCCCACAATAGAAATTTCCAAAAGCTTCTGGAATTACATGCTTCCAAAAGTATACTGCACTGTGTGAGACTGCATTAGTTGCCTGGGAAATGCAAATGAGAATCTCAGGCTGACTCTACTAGAGACCTACCGGAATGGTGAAGAGCAGAATGACCGGTCGTGTAAGGGTTGATAAACAGATGTGGTCACTGGAATCCTCATGCATGGTTGGTAGTAATGAAAATTGTGCACCTACTTGGAGTACCGCTTGCCAATATCTGCTAAAGTGCACACATACACGTTTACGCAGCGTTCAAAACTGGCCAAAGTTATCTAAAATGTCACAGTCCTAACAGTGGTCATCTATGACGGATAGTGACCAGGTATGAACACAGAGAGGACTTACAGAAAACTCTTGTTAAAGTTTATCCCTGTTCTCCAAAACGCACTCAGTTACGCCTACCTTTTCATGTTAGCCATCGCTGTAGCACTGAACTGAAGACGGGTGTCCTTTGCCTACCTTCTTCGTGACTCGGATTCTGTATCTCTTATCTTCTACCTGGAGCTTCTCTGCAGCTGCCACATTCTACAACTGTAGTAATGTTCTGGAACATACTAGAAATTATGTAAATATATAAGTATAAGGTAGTCACTACATTCTATTGCTTTGACCCAATATCAGAAGGAAAAAATGGTTGATATTTCCCCTTGGCAGTTCTGAGGTGCGTTCTGCACTGCTTTTCAGGGATGTCCAGCTCTACAGAGCCCTACTTACCCGCCACACACACTATACTCTTACATTGGATTTTCCTTCTTATGAGTTTCTCTACTCTTAATACCTTCAATTACATTCCCTTTCATTACTTCCTACTTTTAACTACTTGTCAACAATCCATTTACTCATTTTTTACTTTTTAAGAAAACGCAATCCAAACATGTCATTACTGTCAGATTCTGGAATAAGATCATTTATTGATCAGAAGACAATCTGATCTTATTATAGATGAAATTCAAACGTTGATTATCCCTGAATTTGTAATAGATTACAAGTTACTAAAACCTGATCAGTGGCTGATTATACCGAGGTACAGATAAAAAATGAAGTATCAGTTGAAGCCCTAGTAGACACTCGGGTGTGACAGCATCTGTGAGAATGACCTGGGTTTATTAAAGACTTCAGAATCCTTGAAGAAGACAGTAGCAGAATCAGATCAACCATCAACTGTCTTCAGCCTGCGAAAGCCAAAGATCTCCCATGGCAGCGTGTAGAGACTCCTCTGCAGCTGGAAGATGGAGGGTGCTTTTTAATTTCATCTCTAATAAGATCAGATTGTCTTCTGATCAATAAATGATCTTATTCCAGAATCTGACAGTAATGACGTGTTTGGATTGGGTTTTCTTAAAAACTAAAATCTGAGTAAATGGATCGTTGACAAGTAGTTAAAAGTAGGAAGTAATGAAAGGGAATGTAATTGAAGGTATTAAGAGTAGAGAAACTCATGAGAAGGAAAATTAGTCTACGGTGTGATTGTGAGGGGAGTCAAAGCACAGGGAGAAAGAACGCGCTGCCCACGGCCCCGCCAAGTCCCCGGTGACACCATGAAGGAGGTGACGCGATCCCGAGGTCCCCCCAGCACGGGCCAGGTGATGGGGCTTAAACCACAGAGGCAAATGGATACGAATCTAACGCAAGAACAGAAACGTTATTCCATGAACTTTTGCGTCCTCTCCAAATACTTCTGCTGAAACAGCGACGGTCTAGGAGGAGGCGCCTGGAGGGGATCAGGTCGCGAGTAGAGTCTTCATGATCGGGATTCGGGCTCTGATGAAAGAGACCACAAAGAACCTGCTCAGCGGCTGGGCGCGGTGGCTCAAGCCTGTAATCCCAGCGCTTTGGGAGGCCGAGGCAGGTGGATCACGAGGTCAAGAGATCGAGACCATCCTGGTCAACATGGTGAAACCCATCTCTACTAAAAATACAAAAAATTAGCTGGGCATGGTGGCGTGTGCCTGTAATCCCAGCTACTCAGAAGGCTGAGGCAGGAGAATTGCCTGAACCCAGGAGGCGGAGGTTGCAGTGAGCCGAGATCGCGCCATTGCACTCCAGCCTGGGTGACAAGAGCGAAACTCCGTCTCAAAAAAAAAAAAAAAAAAAGAACCGGCTCAGCTTTTCCGCAACGTGAAAACACAGTGAGAAGGTGACATCCGTGGACCGGACACAGCCCTCGCCGACACCGAGGCCTCTGGTTTCCGGACTTCAGACATCCCAGAACCGTGAGAAATGAACTGTCGTTATTTTCAGCCACTCATCTTACAGGATTTTTGTTATCGCATCCGGAACCGACTAAGACGGCGAGAAGAGAGATAAGGGGTGTAAGGCCGGTTGCCTCGCGTGCAGCTCGGACACCCCCACCCCTCTCCGCCTGAAAACTACATCACCACTCCGTGCTCGACATCAAGCTCTGCACTCGGCACCTAGCCCACCTTTGGAAAACCCCTCCAAAACCTGCCCAATAACACAGCCTGCTCACCGGAAATCCCACCTACCTACCAATCCCCGCCAAACCTGCCCAATAACACAGCCTGCTCACCGGAAATCCCACCTACCTACCAATCCCTGCCAAACCTGCCCAATAACACAGCCTGCTCACCGGAAGTCCCACCTACCTACCAATCTCCACCAAAACCTGCCCAATAACACAGCCTGCTCACTGCAAATCCCACCTACCTACCAATCTCCACCAAAACCTGCCCAATAACACAGCCTGCTCACCGGAAATCCCACCTACCTACCAATCTCCACCAAAACCTGCCCAATAACACAGCCTGCTCACTGCAAATCCCACCTACCCACCAATAGCAGCTCACCCTGTCCACATCCTGTTTCTCCACAGCCAATCAAACGCCTTCACTCCCTATAAAACCCCCACACCCTAGAGAAGTCAAGAGACTTCTCTGGCCCCTTTCCCTGGGACCATGGAACCTCCTCCAAGAGCAATTAAATTAAATTTCTTTATTTCAATAACTGGCCTCAGTTGCCTCATTCAAACCCTTAGAAGTGGGAAAGCAAATAGTGTGCTGTCTGGCTTACCCAGAGAAAAATAACAACAGCTTACACAAAACACGAATTTAGCTGTAAGAATAGAAAAATGAAACTCTTTCTAAAATGTCCAGATATAAGCCACTTCTTTGACTAGAGACCTACAATAAAACAGCCAACGGCAGTTAATTTGGGGAAAGGTCTTAAATGCCACTGCAGGTATATACAATAAATATCACTCCAATCTTTTGCCAAAAGGAGCTGAAGCCATTCACTAGAATTGAGAGGAGGAAAAAAAAAAAAAAAGAGCACCATTCACCATTGTGTCAAATTAATGTGCAGAGAAGCACTCAGTAGTTTTACAGGATGATTTTCCTGCAGTTGATTAGCGTGGTGCCTCAAGCTACTGATCCTAGGCACATAAAAAGGGCTTTTCGATGAAGTACTCATGATGATAGAATGGAGCCTATTATTAGTTCAAAATTGTACACTCCATGTAACTAAGGCCAATCTAAATACTGCTACTGATAGGGGACCATGCTGTTGATAGCAGAAACCAATACTTAGCCTTTGAAATTGCACTGTTCCTCAAGAGGATGAGCAAGTCTCCTAGTGGCACATTGATTAGATTGGATCTCTTCTGGTCTGAAGTGGGTAGAATTTTGTCCCTACTAAAAGTGATGATATCTGTTCTGGAAATGAGCTTTCTCTTCCTGCTCAAAACACCTCTGCTGATATCACCACCTGACAGTTTACAGAAGGATTGATTTACTTTCATTAGTCCCTGAATAAGATCTTCTCAAACAAGGACTTCTTTTTTTAATCATGGAAGTATGGCAATGGGCAAGTAAACCAAGAGTCCCCGTGCTCCTCTCAGATATAGCTTCACTCAGAAGGTATATATATATATATATATATAGCTATATATATATATATATATATATATAGCTATATATATATATATATATATAGCTATATATATATATATATAGCAAGCCTAGTAGAAAGATGGAATGGAATGTCTTATTAAACTCTCAGCTAAAGTGTCAGGTAGGGGCTTTTGGTAGTACCTAAACTGCATGGATTTTTATTCCAAAGCTTAGACATAGAATCAGCACTTGAAACTATCAAATGATTGAGGATTTTCTCCTTTATTTGTCCACAATTACATTGGATTAGAAGTGTTTGCACCTGTGTGTGTGTATGTGTGTGTGTGTGTCCGTGTGTGTGTGTGTTGGGATGAGGGATACCTCCCTGCAGGTAAACAATAAGGATTCCACGGAACCAAAGCTATGATTCCCCATGACCATGTTCGAATTCTCATGCTGATTGACCAGTAAGGAATAAATGAAGTTACAATATTGGTGGGATTGATTGACACTGATTTAGATGAGTGTCAAAGCATATACGACACAATGGAGACAGAAAGGATGACATGTAGACCCCAGAATATGCAGAGTCATCTCTTGGTGCTATGTCCAGGTGCAACAATAAATGGTCAATTACTCCACTTATGGATCAAATAAGGCAAAAGCAACCAAGGACTCTGATCCCTCTTACTGTTCCCCTTATGGGATACAATGAGAAAAATATAAATGGGTGAGAGATAATAGACATCATAAGCAGAAAAGACAGGCCAAGTTCAGTTATACTTGGTGAGTCTGTAAATTATTTTACTGGTCCTTTGGTGTTGGGTCTTTTATAGAGATTGTGATCATCTAACACTTTGCAGCCTTTTGTGATAGTCCTGATTTAGTTAATAAAAAAGCATGAGTAGGATTGTAAATAATTCTATTATAAAGACACATGCACACGTATGTTTACTGTGACACTGTTCACAATAGCAAGGACTTGGAACCAACCCAAATGCCCATTCAATGACAGACTGGATAAAGAAAATGTGGCACATATACACCATGGAATACTATGCAGCCATTAAAAAGGATGAGTTCATGTCTTTTGTAGGGTCATAGATAAAATTGGAAACCATCATTCTCAGCAAACTGACACAAGAACAGAAAACCAAACACCGCATGTTCTCACTCATAAGTGGGTGTTGAACAATGAGAACACATGGACACAGGGAGGGGAACATCACACACCAGGGCCTGTGGGGTGGGGAGCTAGGGGAGGAATAGCAGGGGTGGGGGTATAGGGGAGGGATCGCATTAGGAGAAATACCTAATGTAGATGACAGGACGATGGATGCAGCAAACCACTACCATGGCACGTGTATACCTATGCAACAAACCTGCATGATCAGCACATGTACCCCAGAACTTAAAGTATAATAAATACATTTTTTTTAAAAAAGTATGAGTAGATCCAACTTGCAAGGGATGAACTATGCGGAACATCCATCGTACCCCATTCCCTTGGCCAAATATTTACAGATGGTCATTCACAGCAATCAACTGAGCATAAATACAGCTTGAGAACATCGGTCCTTAATTTTACTGTTTGTCTCTTTCTTCCAGCTATGAGAATTCTCTTTTGCTGCATGTAGTGCATAGGAGAGAGTCTACTGAGCCATTTAATCACATGTGCAAATCTGGAATTGTGAGGGTGTTAGGACCCTTGGGCAAATCTTGGGCAGTGCAAAGCAGGTGTGATCAGCAAGTCTCTTCTTCCACGTGTACAGGAGACAGTCCTTCCCAGTAGGATTGAAGCCTGTTTGCCTATAGTGGCAACCGGCTCAATTTTCAACTATTGAATTGGCTTGTTTCCTTTTCTTATTTCACTCTTCCAAATTCCCCCAGTTTTATTCACTGAAACATTTCAAATTAAACTAGCTATATACAAGTTTTTGTCTCTAGTTCTGCTTTTTAGATGAACATAAGCTAAAAATATGACAGTGTTCTATTTCATAATCTGGATGGTTGCTACACAGAAGTAAAGAGTAATGGATGCACTATTCAGTAATAGAAAGTTATTTTAAAAACATATACTCCAACTCTGAAACAGTAAATTCCACGACTATGCTATCTTGTGAAACTTCTTAACCTAATAGAAATGATATCCACTTACTGTTTTTTTTTTTTTTTTTTGAGATGGAGTTTTGCTCTTGTTGCCCAGGCTGGAATGCAGTGGCACGATCTTGGCTCACTACAACCTCCGCTTCCCAGATTCAAGCGATTCTCCTGCCTCAGCCTCCTGAGTAGCTGGGATAACAGGTATGCACTACCATGCCCGGCTAATTTTGTATTTTTAGTAGAGATGGGGTTTCGCCATGTTGGACAGGCTGGTTTTGAACTCCTGACTCAAGTGATCCACCCGTCTGGGCCTCCCAAAGTGCTGGGATTACAGGCATGAGCCATCACGCCCAGCCTATCCACTTACTCTTAATATACTTTTTCTTAGCTCCTTGAAAATGTTCAGTTCTGTATCCCTCTTATACAAGTCTACATGAGTCCATGAGATTTTTTTCTCACTTTTTTGAAATTGTCATTTTAAAATAATTTTAGATGCAAAAAGATTGCAAAAGTTATTTTCATATACACTGAGCTTCCCCAAATGTTAACTGACATAATCACAGGACCAATACTAAAATCAGGAAATTGATGTTCATACAGTACTATTATCTAATCTACAGGCCTTATTCAAATTCACCACTCCCTTCACTCACACCATTTTCCCAGTCCGGGACCAATCGTGAGTCACATGTTGCATCTACTGGTCATAGTTCCTTTGTCTCCTCTAATCTGGGCAGCTCCTCCATATTTCTGCTTCTGTGACCTTGTCATTTTTGCTTCCCTTTTAATATCACTTTCATTTTTACTTAACCTGACTAGACCAGTCTAATTCAGTGTGGCCGTGTAACTGAGCTAAAATCAGTTAATATATAAGGAGATAGAATGCAGGTCTCTGCTCTTCCTGGCTCATGAAAACTTCCTGCTCATGTTCTCCGTACCATTTCCCTACCAGCTACCTGGATCGGAGGGAGTCACTCGGTGGGGAAGGGGGTTTGGATGTAGAAGCCGTGGAAGAAGGGAGAGCTTCTGTCATCTCAGGGACCTAATGTGAAGAATGGCCAGCACAGACCTCCTCACTGCAGGTACTATTCAAAAGCAAGAAAGAATTCTATTATGTTCAAATAATTTTGCTTTTACATTTGACTTTTTTAGCTAGTTGCTTTGGGGGTTAGACTACCATAACTAGTTCACAGAGAAGAAGTAAAGTTGAGGAGTAGGGATAGTGCTTAAAATAAGCAAGTGGTTTTCAGATAGGGGGCAGGGGGAGCTGATGAGAGGAGAGGACCACAGTATGAAGACGAAAAGGCAGGAGAGTGCAGGGGAAGAAAATGCAGGAGTGCAGGGGAATAAAGGGGCGCATGGGCTTCCTGATGAATGACCGCGATTAAGTGACCACACAGTGCAGTGTCGATTAATTAACTGGGACCTCACGTCTAATCAGACTCATTTTCAAGCATTACAGACTGTTTTTTTGGAG